CCAGGCGCCCGAGGAAAATTATTCTTAATTTATGTTGTCATCCTAACATATAAATTGAGTCTCTTGTTTACTAATTTTCTGCCTTTTCCTAAATTCTATGTCTTGTCTACCTATTCTTTTTCTGTTCTTCTCCAGGCCTTCGTACCCTTGAGAATTATTAAAACTGAGTCGTAGCTTCTTGCTTTCTGCCTCTCTCAGAAATCCTTCTGAATATGGCTGCCAACATACTTCCAAAACTCCGCTTCCATGACATCTCTCACCAAGGGCTGGCAATGACTTTTCCATTGCCAATTACATCAAGCGCAGACTTCTTTCACTCCAGGCTCTCTAGAATAAAACCACACCTAGCCTATGAATGGTTTTAATGATTCCCTGATAGAGCTCTTCAAGGCAATCAGACCTAAATCTTCATTGACTCACCCCCCAGTCTGCTGTAATTCTTACACTCGTTTTCTGTTTTGCAGAGCTGGGATCTCAGCAATAATAAGCATGGTTTATTAGAAAGACCACAGAGATGAGACTCAGAAGAAACTCTGGCCCTAGGTTTAGAGCCTAGTGACTCTTTTGACAAGCTATTTAATTTCTTATCTATAAGATAAAGAAATCTGCTAGCACCTTACGGAATTATTCTGAAGGGTAAATGAGACCATCTATGTGAATGTGCTTTCTAAATCATAAAGTGCTAGATAAAGCAATTTCTATGTAATCAAAATTTCTCTTATCTGAAATTCAAGAATACATGATTTTTAAACAATGTATATGTTTGATAGCTTTGAAATTTTCAGTGTTCCTAGATACACATTAGAAGTCACTACTATTTGAAATAATTAAAAAGAGGGACCTAGAGGTAGGGAACAGAAATAGAGGCCAGATAAATACTCAACAAATTCTTGGGGTTTCTCAACATTGGTTTTCCAAAAAGGCAGGTTTAAAAGGGTTTTAAGTTAGCCTAGGATGTAGGACTACACTCTTGCCAACTATATTCCTATGATGAGGAATGCACATTAAGTATAAAGGGAATGGTAGTTCCAGGAGTGAGGAAGATTGAGCCATGAAGTCACAAAGATTATCAAAAATCTGGTTGAGGAATCAAAAGCTAAAAATTCAAAAAATTAAGTGCTTTCTAATATATGTATTATCTACAATAAAGCAGAAACAGATATATGAGTAAATCATAACTTTGTTGCAAAAAGATTACAAAAAGTATCTGGTAAATGGAAATTAGTAATACACTACCCATTAACACTAATATGATTCAAAATGTCACTTGGATTGCAGTTTTCAGTTCAATGAATTCAAAAGTATTTATGAGTTTGTGTAGGTTCACTCAAGACCTTTTATCTGTAAGCCTACTTTCCTTCATTTGCCAATTTTCCTTTCCTTTTTATTTTAAAGGCCTTGTCCTCAGGTTGGGGAAGATCTATGTGATATTGAGGGTCTGGCTAATACCATGGATCTTCCATGGTATTTCCCCCATAGCTATAATGCAGATCATCCATTCTTTTCCTAAGCATTGCTTGCATTTTGGGTCTTTTCCATTCGAAATTGTTGTTTTTGTGCGATTCATGAATTATTTCCAAATGTGGGTTTGTTTTTCCCAAACAGATTGAAGGTTCCTTAAGGCCAACACAAAATCTAATACTCTCTATTCCTTATAAGAATATTATGACTGTAAATAAGCACACTAGATGCTGAACAAGTATTCCTAGAGTAACTGAAATCAAGTGTAATAAACAGAAGTTTGCTATCTATGATTTCTCAGCTCTAAAAGTAACATGAGTAAAAAATGTTATTTCTTGTGGGGATATAAACTGAGTTCCTCATATTTACTATTAATGTGTTTAGAAAACCAAATTTGTTTAAGGACTAATGTCTTATTCAGTTAATGAGATGTCTGTTATAAAAAGTAATGGTTTAAAAATCATCTTCCAATTACTAATCAAGTCAGAAATGCTTAGAAAATTTAAGATGGTTCCTCTGGAATGCTCCTTTGGATATTCCTAAGTGTTTATAGAGAATACCTACAAATTGTATAAGTCTTTTGTTTCAGTCCTGTATTTCTTGACAGGATTTGAGATAAAAATGGTACTCAACATGGCCAGTTAAATCTATCGCAAGTATTTAAGGGGAATACTGGCAAGAAAGTTTTTTTTTTTTCTCTTATTCCCTCTTATTTTAAAAGTATTTTATAAGTGAAAAGGGCAACATCGTTTTTAGAGTTTGTTGAGAATTTCAAATACCTCGTCCCCAGAAGCAAGATTCATCATCAGGAATATCTAAGGCCTAACCGGTTTTCAAAATAGTGCCCACATATACCGTACTTGTTGAACAAATTCAGATTTATTGAAAGTAAACATTTACATTGGCTACAATGTTAGAACTATTACAAAGCTTGATAAAAGAGGCTTAAGTAGCAATAGAAAGCAAGTGCAATAAAAAGTGAATAGAGAAAATATTTGGCCTTAGTGATCTCTTGGCAGTATTTACATTATGTACATATTGTTAAATATTTATAATAACTCTAAGGCACCAAAGGCTAAATAGCAGGTTGCAATACTATTTTGTGCACAAAAGTCAAGAAATTTATTGTAAAGAAGGCTGGATAGTTAAAGAAACATAGGCATCTTTTAATGTTTACATAAAGGAGTGGCTGTATTTTTTTAAATCTCAAATGATACATTAAATATTGGGCAGATTGAAGAAAATATTTTTAGAACATTAAATTATGTTGACTATGTAAATAAGCACTATTTTTTTTTTACTGACTTGCTGGTAAATGTGTAATGTAATCTACTCTTCAACACAGCTTTTTCACACTCATGGATATGTTTTGTCTAAAAACTACTTGAAATTCTTTTAACCTACAAAAACTTATCCTAATATATCATAGTGTATACAAAATCTCCAGGAAAAATTGAATGGACAATAATATACATCAAATTTATATATAATCTGACAAAAATTTAGCAGGCATTCAATGCCAAAAGAATTGAATATTCAGTCTGCCATTCTGGCAAAGCAGTTGAGTATTTTAATCCTTTAACTGTAAGTGGGCGATTGTTTGTGGCTTAGGTGAGTGGACATAAAGTTGGCCCATGGAGAAAACCAATCTTAAAGGGAACTAACTATATTCAAACTTTGCCTTGAAACCCCTTGAAACACCCACTCACTGGGTCTTAGCTGTGTCACTCAGCACCAGTGACTGAAATATCCATATTTCTGCATGTCAGGAGGTAACTGACAATATCTATGTCCAGCAACATGGTCTTGACTGAATTATCTGATAATTTCCATTTGCAAAGTTTTATTGTTCCTTCGACTGGAAACCAAATTACCTTAACAAACAGTATATCATTTGTCTTGAGGTAGTGTTATAATGAAGAATTTAGCAGAACAATCGAATACCATCCTAATATTTTTACAATGTGCTTCAGGTGCTACTATGAAATCCACATACTTCAGTGGTAGACAGTCCAAGGTTGAGTGGCCCTTCGTGACATATTAAATTACTATCTGATGAAGGCATCCAGACATGAACAAGGAGGATGAGTTTTTCCTTAGAATTTTCTCAAACACCGTGGCCTCTGGCAAGTTACGGTATTATGGTATGAAGTACTGCTAAAATTCTTTCAATGATATTAAAAATTCATAGACTTGCATATTAAGTTTCCTTTCTTTTAGCAAAGCGGAGAATAATTGAGAGATGTCTTTTCTAAACTCTTAACTTTTTCAATGAGAGATATTCAGAACATTAACAACAGTTTTGGGATTGGTTTTTTACATCACATATTTGATACTAAGTTTAAGGATGTGGCACTCATTTAAATTTTAAATTGAAAACCACCTTCACACCCAACATTTGACTGAGATTTGTTGAGCAAAAAAAAATAAAAATCATTTCAACATAATGCAATGTAAGGCACCAAAAGTGCCTTCCCATAATGTATTCTATAGCACTAGGTTATATTATTACTCTTTTCTCTTCTTGAATGTTCAATCATTTTCTTCTCTTTTTTAATCCAGTGGACAGTGAAAGAGGACAAATTACTCATTGTGAAATGTTTACAAAATCAGTAACGCAGGAAAAAGTAGAAATGAATTAAGGTTCTTCTTCCCCTACTTCAAGAATGAAAATAAATGATTACCTTTGCTCAGTGGGTTAATACTATGTAGTAATGGCTACACAATTAATGTAACTATAACAAAGCATCAGTGAACAGACTTCAAATATTATATAAATACAATACAATATCCATGTTTGGAATCATCAAATATCTCAATAGGTAATCTTAATGGGGTGACTGAATCAAGGCATGATAATGTTCAAACTTCTACATTTTAAAGACCTACTTGGATCTTGGAAGCATGATATTCATTTACTAATGATAGATACTGAAATTAGATTCTTTAAAAATAAAGATAAGTATCAGGATGCTGTAGTTACCACAATATCAAAAGTTCAATTAAAGGACTGGCTCTAATACTTAGAATATTTGCTTACAAGGTTCTGAACTTAATTTTTCAAAACAAATTTACAATCTGTCATTCTACATTGCAATAACATTCAATGAATTACCATTAGGAGACATCTGATTTTATTATCATAAAAGATGTCTATTGTCTGTAATATTTAGTAGGCATTAAAACTATCAACCACTTCCCTTGCGCTAAGAGTTTAATCTACTTTTATTCTTGAACTGGCAGTAGAAGTTTGCATTATGCCAGCTTTTCCTCCCTGAAATACTCTCCCCTGAGTCCTCCAAGTTACCCTTCCAGTTCAGATTCTCATACTACACTCCTTACAGATCACTCAACTGTGAAGTCAGATCTTAATGGATTAGGTCCGTGGTTTTAAAACTATGTTTGGAGGCACTGGAGGCCACACAGGTCGGGCCCCAAGACCTCAATTTCTAAATCCTGCTAGTACATCTTCACAATGATGCTATATACCGAACGAGCCACAAAATTAACTTGAAAAATAATTTTGTTGCTTAAAACTGTTTTTAAAACCCAGTCAAAGGTTTTTGGAAGACTTGGGGAATCTTGACAGAAAAAAAGCAAGTCGTCCTCTTGTCCCATGTGAAGTCTTCAAGTATCTGGTCACAGAACACTAAGTAAGATACTATAGCTTGGCCCTACCATGCAACACGATCCCTCAGTCTGGCTTTTGAGTTCAGAGGCACAAATCAGAACAGATCAATGTTTTAAGTGGATCCTATCACAATGATTAATATCCCATCCACTTTAAGACTATTTTTGCAGAAATAAGTGGCATATCAATTATTTACAATACAAGAAAACAAACAATTAGCAAATACTTCTTAGATAGCAACCCTTAACAATGAGTATGACCTTTGTGCTCCCCTTTTATGCCAAAGGAAATAAACACAGAAGTTATAACATTATATTTGCAAATGACTAAACATTTTTATTTATTTTTTCTTTCTAAATAAATTAGAATCAGATAAGAGCCTAATGACTCAGGGTTTGAACAGAGTGGTAGACTTGCTAATTAAACTGCTCTCATGAATGGCCTTATTCCAAAGACATCATGTAGGAAAATAAACACTGTCCAAAACTTATGATGAATAAGAATAACTTTAGGACCCAAAGAAACAGAAATGAGTTTGATGAGCACAGGACTCTTGAAAGGAAAATGCTAAGAGCTGGTGTTATTATTCTCTATAAACTTATTTGTGTTCTTTTAATATAAAAGAAACTTCAACGTTTGTCTTCTTTCTCAATACGAAAAAAAATAAGCAGAGGTATTAGATGAAAAAATACAAAAAATGCTGGTGTGGTATAAATAAATTTTAAAAATGTTCCATTGTAGGAAATAAAAAATATATACCGTTTGTTTAAATTCTGAGGCCCTTCTTTTAAACATATAATCATTTGAATATAGAATTAGTCCACCTGGGGCATCTGTGTTCCCCAAATTATAACTGTTAGATAACATTATAAAAGAGTTGAATTCTAACTGAAGGGGAAATTATTTAAACAAACAGAAAAATTGTTTCTAAATATCTTCAGTGAATGAATGGTGGTACATTTGACTCATGTCTTGGTTTATGTCCAGATTTACTGCTTACTGAATATTATTTTCTTTTCATCAAATGAGCATAGAATCGTGGAGCCGTGCTATCTCTGTTGTCAAAGCACATATATGTGCATATACACACATAATTGCACGATCACACATTTTGATGCATCAATCTATAGATATATACATTACATACTCTTGGGCAAAGCACTGCATCTAAGACCTAATTGTTTTTGTATAAGAAAAAAATAACAGGAGAATAGGAAATATCCCTCCCCAAAACATTTGAATGTTCATACCACTAATTAAATAGCACACCAGAATGTGCAAACATACTTATTGCAAAGTACTGTATAGATTAGACGTCATTATAAAATGTTCTCAGTTCTATTTTGGTAACCTAAAATGTCGGTATATAATACCAAATTTCCAATTAAAGAGTTTAATATAAAAATATCAGCACAAAACTGTTTTTTCAATCTGTTTATTGTGTGAGCAACCCAAACTTCAGTTTAAGTGCTGTTGTAATTTTATTACTAGATTCCATAACCCTACAATTGATCAATTTTATACCATTCTAGGTATTTAATAAGATACTTAGAAATACTAAGAAAAAAATCAGTATTCAAAGGGTTACTTTTGTTTATAATAACAATAAATTATTTTATCATCTTCTTCAGTTCAAAATCCAGCTTTGAACCCGAGGAAGGCTTTCAGATCATGTTAATTAAATGATGGTCCTTTAACCAGTAGCAGTTTGATTACCAATTACTCGAAGGATCTCTTTGTGAATGCCTCCTTCTTGTGTGTTAATATTCGCATCTCCAACCTGACCATCTTCATAGCTAAAACACAAAAAAGAAACGTAAGACATTTTTAAAAAGACGAAACACTAAAAAAAAAAAAGCACCCCTCAGAAATGCCATTTGATACCTAAAATATAGCCAAAGGGATTCAGTAGTGAAGACGTTATTTCTCAGTTGTATTTAATAATGTGTTCGCAAATGCAGAAAAGCCTGCATGACTAAACACATGATTATCCTACATCATGCCCTGATTTGCCCCTCCCTCCCTCCCTCTTTCCTTCCTTCCCTCCTTCTTTCCCTTTTAATCTTAACTTTTTCACACCCCCCCCCAGCATTTCCCACGGCAGCTGTTCTACGAAGCCCACCGTGAAAGAACATACCAACTTCAGCTTTCGGTTCCTTAGGTTCGAATCTTGTGAACCCCACTCCCACTTCACTCATTTGTTTATTTTCTGATCTGCGATACCCTGAGAAATGACTTCACTTTCTGCCACTGCTCCCTCAGTGCCTGCCCTCTCATTATTATTCCGTTGTGATCAGTGCCGCCTTTGTTTCCTTATCACTGGCGGCTCTTTGTAGTCTGACTCTAGAAGATATTCTTATTTGTGCTGATACTTCACACAAGAATGCAAGTGTGCTAAGTTTCGCTAAGCTATAGAAGTGGAAATATAACATTAAAGGACAGCGATTACTAAGTCCTTTAGAAAGAAAGAATTGCGTATTAGATGATTATTCATTTCCTCTAATAAACTTACTTGGGCAAAAAGAATTTTCCAAGAATGAATTTTTAAACTTCCGTGATAAGATTCAGAAGTAGAACAGGTGATGAATTAATTTTACTTCGTAAAAATGACTTCAAGACAGAAGCTTTCGAGAAGTGGTAATTACTTCAAAATAGATAACCATGGGTGTAAGCGGTCTCAAAGATTTATGCGCACCACTGCCTTTTCCTCACCACATTAAAATTCTCCTGAAATAGCACAATACAGGAAAATGGAATAGATGACATACAGCAATGAGAACTCAGGTCCTTACATAATCCACTGCTCAAACACCTAGTGATAACTCCATTTGTAGCAAGTTTAAACTCTTTAAGAACTGACCCACGGTTGCCAATCAACTAGGTTAATTCTATCCGTATAAGTACATACACATGCACGCGTGCATGTGTTTATCTATGACACTCAATGGTGAAGCACTACTGTGAAGAAAAGAAAGGGATATGTGGTACACGGCCTACTTATAATGATTTTCCCAGGAGACCAAACTGTAAGTGCTCTGTTAATTAAATGGAGAATGTTAAAGTGAAATGCTTTAAGCAATGTCCAACGCTAGTTTGGAGCTTTGTGGCAAACCGTATGAAAGATACATTTTATGGAGCAAGTAAAATATGTTATATGGTTTCTGTGTACATCCTGGCTACCCCCGGGGCCAAAGGGTAAACTAAGGCATCCATAACGCTGAGCCAAGGCTGGGGAGGCACCCTGGCTTGCAGGCTCATCCCGCGGGAGATAATGGTATTCACCAAGCCAATCCAGCTAGTTCCTCAAGGATCTGGATTTCGGAAAGCCAAAAGACACTGCCAAAAAGAGGATGGAGAGACAAAGAAAACCAGAGTGCCAGTTACGCATACCGGTCCACGCGGATCTCTCCTCACTTTCCTAATACGCATTTGTGTTTGCTCTGACCCTGTGGCATCTGTGTCCTCTGTACACTGGACGCAAAGCTGAGTAAGACAGTCTTGGCTTAACTGGTACCTGCGTACTACCAGCTCTATTCCTTTCAATTTAAAGCTGACCTTTGAGGTTTGTCTACAATACATTCTAACCGCTCATGCTTTCCTCAACCCACTGCAATCATTCTTCCGACCCCACCACTCCACTGAAAGTCTGGACAACGGTTACCCATGGCCTCTTATGTGAAGAATTCAGATTCTACCTGCTACGTCTGCAGTATGTGATACAGTTGACTGCTCTTTTCCCTGAAGCGATATTATCTCTTCACTCCCTAGTTGGTCCTTTGATTATTAATTCTGTTTCCTTCATTGCGTCCTCTTCCCTGGCCTCCCATTTCAATGCTGGCTTTATCCACAATTCACTCTCAGTGTTTTCTCTTTTCATGATATGCAAACTCTCAATTATTTCAGTCTCTCCCGCTGCTTTAATCATCACCCACATGCTGATTCCTAAACTATATCTCTAATCCTTACATCCTTCTCTAACTATAATTTCCCCACAGAAATCACAAATCTAGTGTATTCAAAATTGCTTAATTTTTTAACCCCAAGCCTGCTTTTTTACCTCTATCAAAATCTCAGTTTGGAGTACCATCATCTACCCAGTCTCTCAACAAGAGAACTTCGGTCATTCTTGGCTCTTCCATGTGCCTAAATCCAATAAATCACCAAGTTATCTTGCTTTTGTTTTCCTAATTATTGCCAGGTGCATCTTCTCTCCATTTGATGCCATTACCTCCGTTTATGGCTTCATTATCATTCGTCTAAATAAGTGATTTTCAAGTTGCAGGTTACACGTACAATTAGCGGGTTCTGAAATTAATTTAGATTGTCTGGGCTAGCATTTTTCAGTGAAACTAGAATAGGATAGGACACAGAATACTGAATGCACCACACAAATCAAGCATTGTTTTTTCCCAAGTCACAATGTCAAAAACGTTTTCTTTTGGAGTGAGAAACACTGACCTAGACGACTGTAAGAACATTGTAACTGATCTCTCGGTCTCCATACTTAGCCGCACCGTCCCTCCGAGAAGGCTGTTTTCTGCTCTCGCTGGAGTGATACAAATGGCCTGCACTTCACTTGCAGGACAAATATCCAATGGCACTGGCATAGTGCACCAGGGTCCTTCGTAACCCAAACCTAAACTTCCCCTCCAGTCATGTCCCACTACCCCAACACTCTATTTCCATCAAATGGAAGGGTTTGCTATCCCCAAATACTACGTGCTCATTGACACCTGAAAAGCCTTAGTAGTTAATGGAGAGAAGATGAGACTCACATCCTTTAAACAAACAATAATAATTTAGGATAGAAAGAGCCCAGGGCAAAAGCAAACGGAGAGTAGAGAGCAAGAGTGAGAGACCGAGATGGAGATTGAAAGTATTGGGGCGCCTGGGTGGCTCAGTTGGTTATTCGGCTGCCTTCAGCTCAGGTCATGATCCCAGGATCCTGGGATCGAGCCCCACGTCGGGGTCCCTGCTGGGCGGGGAGTCTGTTTCTCCCTCACCCTCTGCCTGTTGCTCTGCCTACTTGTGCTCTCTCTCTCTGTGTCAAATAAATAAATAGAATCATTAAAAAAAAGTATTAAGAAAAATGCATATTCTTCCATTGTCTATGAAGCCCACAAGGAAGCATAACAGTTGTGGGTTGGAAGGATAAAACTGGCCACAGGCATTCAGATGTCTTAAACTATGAAGCATATACAATAATAAAGGAAAGACAAGCTACCATTTGCCTGGGTCAACTGGCAGCGTTTAGATATATGCATTATTCGTGGCATAGGGCATTTACTACAATATGGCATACAGAATACTTTGCAGCTATTTATTAGTATTACAGACAAACAACTGCTAATTTAACAGTGAAGTTCATTTATGTCCAGAAAGCAACAAGATTAAAAAAAAAAGAAATGGAGTGGGGTGCCTGGGTGGCTCGGATGGTTAGGCGTCTGCCTTCGGCTCAGGTCATGATCTCAGGGTCCTGGGATCAAGTCCCACATCGGGCTCCTTGCTTACTAGCAAGGAGCCTGCTTCTCCCTTTGCCTGCCGCTCCCCCTGCTTGTGCTCTCTCTCTCTCTGGCAAATAAATAAATAAAATCTTCTAAAAATTAAAAAAAAAAAGAAATGGAGCAAGAATGGTATCAATAGGGAAAATGATACACTTGACTGGGGTTTTCTGAAGAAGGAAAAATGAAACCATCTAAAAGGAGACAAAAATTACTTAAGTTCCCAGGAGCATTAAAAGATTACTAAAATTTTAATTAAAAAATAAGCCAATTTGCTTAAAAAGCTTTGAGAAGGAAAGAGAACAACAGAGGGAATTTAGCTGTCCGGAACTCTCTGGATATGTTAGGAAATTTCCTAGATAAAAACTTTTGAATGTATTGACAAGTTCTATTTCCAAACTGATGTAGCAGCTTAAAGAATGGCACACGTCAATTTGTTTTCGGACTCCCTGAATCTGGAACCCAGAAATGATAGCATTGTTTTTCATTAGCAATAGAGAGGAGAAATTCACTGTGAACAAATGATATCCAGGACTTTTCCAAAGTTCCTTAAGGTATCTGATGCTATAAGAGCGTTGTCTACATCATCGCCCATGTACAATTTCTTCATCACGTTGAAACGTTCGGCCTTTGTCACTGTTCTCATGCACTATGTGTTAAGCGTTTCTGCGAACAGAATTTGCATTTTACTAGGGAAGATAATAGAGTTATGCAAATAACTGTAAGATGGGCAGCAAGGACAAGCAATTTTAGGACGAGCAAGGACGAGTAAAATTTAGAGTAAAGACAGACATCATGTCTGACTGGGATATCAGGAAAGATCCCATGGAAAAAGACTATGTAGTTGAGCCTTAGGAGATCAGCTAAGGCTGAGCGGGCAGGAAGGCCCATCATTTGGAATGACTGAGCAAAGGCACAGTAGTGGGAAAAATAATTCCAAGTTGTGTTCAAGAAACACCTAGGATAATAATTTTACTTAATCAGTATGGGTCATTGAAGGAAGATAAAATGGGCTCTGTGTTGCGGAATGTCATGTCTTTATTTGTTAAAAACTACCAGAGTGTATGAACAAGATATAATCAAGACTCTGCTTTAGGAATATTAGTGTGATAGAAGTAGTATGATCTTAAAAAATTTATATGCGTAGAAACGTAGGCTATACATCAAAGATTAACTGTAGTTAATTCCAAGTGGGGATATTATGGGTGACGTTCTTCTTTTTTGCTTACCTTTGATTTCAGTTTCTATACAATGAATAGTTATCACTAGTGTAATAATGTTAATGTTTAATAAATTTGGTATTGTACAAGATAGATTAGGAGCAATGATGAAATTAGAAGCCTGGAGAAAAACTAGTGATCTTTTGATGGACTCTGGGGCAGAGAATGAAATATCCATGGAAACAACGGTATTGAAAGGAGAAAACTGTGTAAAGATACACATGGGGGCTGATGACTATAGTGTACAAGGAAAAAGACATTAAAAACTATAGTTCAGGGTTCCAAGTGTCTTTGGGTAAAATTACTGCGTAGATTGGAGAAGCCAAGAATTTGACTCGGGAATTTAGCAATAATGGGTTTCACTTTGTACATATTGATTTCAAGGTAGGAGCAGACATTCTGAGAGAAAATACCTAGCAAGCAGTTAAGTGTGGGCATTTCATTCATTCCTACTTCTCTGCCAAGCACTGTGCTAGGCACACAAAGACAAATGAGCCATACAGTCCCCGACCTCAAGAATGTATGCAGAATAATGGAGAAGACCCTATATAAGAAAGAATAACCCAATGATAAAAACAAGCCCATGGCACCACACAATAACACCAAGGATTAGCACAACGGAGTCAGGGAAAGTTTCTGGGAGGAGGGAAGGCATAGCTAAAATTTAAAACAGGAGTAGGAATCAGATAAATTAGTGTGAGGGAAGAGAGGAAGAAAGAGTCTAGATTTACTGGAGAAAGGAAAGAGGAAAAGCATGGAAGTGTGGGGATCATAGCCTACAGTTGAGGTCATGAAGCGTAATATCTGGAGGTGAGAAATTGTGGGTGATGAAAACTGGGGGTCATGAGGCTGGGGCTAGATCTCCTTGACCTTCCAATGCTGTGGTGCTGAAGGAAGAACAAAAGGCTGGGGAGTGAGTTGGCTCCCTTTGTAAAGGAGATTGGACTTTATCTTATAAGAAGCAAGCAGCTCCTAAAGAGTTTTAAACAGGAGAGTGATGTGGCAGTTTAAATCTTGGAAATGGATCTGGGTTGCAGACAGAGAAACTGGATTTATTATAGGCTAGTGAAAAAGCAAAGTTCCCGATCGTATCAGCTTGATGTCACACAACTTCACTGAGCCATGACTGAATTGCTTGTCTTCCAACTTCATAAATAACTTGTCTGTCTCCTCACTATGTTCCCATTCAAAGACTGGTTTGTTTTTTGTTTGTTTGTTTTTACAAAATCACGATGAAAATTATCTTTCTTTTCACTGAATGGCCATTATACAGTTCTTATTTTACACATTTTTCTTGTATCTGTCTCTTTAGATAGATTTCAAACTTTTACCAAAAATAAAAACTATACATAATCCAAAATATTATCCTTTTTAGCTTCATCTTTGTTCATTCATTAAAAATGTACTGATAAGCAGCCATGCATCTGGTACCAGGGGAGGTGCTGCAGGGCATCAGGATAGTAAATGAAAAGCAAAAGTAGGAGTCAGCCCTTTCAGACTTGACAGCCTCATGGAAAAGTCCGATACAAGAAAAAACTAAATTTTAAATCGAAGTTCTGCAGTGTCAGCTGCAGGAACACCAGGAAGAGAGATTACTTTTGATTAGGAGCTTCCTGGATGAAGTGGTATTTGAGCTGAACCTTAAAAGATAGATTTTGGATAAGAATTCCTGAAATTTATTTAGCACTGAGATCTGCCAGACTCAAGAACCTGAAAATATCCCGTATCTCTTTTCTGCAGACTTGTATGATTTGGTCCTTCCTGTTCTTAAGTTTCTGAACTTATTGGTCGGTCTTGAAAAATAGGAGGGGCTGTATACCTTAAATTTATCTAATAGACAAAATATGGAAACAATTGATTTTGCAGACCTGCCTGCTCTAAATCAATGAAGCACTGAAGCATTGAACAGGTAGGTTGTAACATCAGATAAGCAAGATAGCAAACCTAGCAGTTCTTAACCTTCCCTTGGTCCCAGAGAGTTGAAGGAGAAGTCATATATTCTTACCTCTAACAGTTTTCACTACAGCGGGGGGTGGGGAGGCTGGGTAGCCTCGGGGGAGACCATGACACAAGACACACCTACTCTGTTAACTTGCCAAATTATCAACTACCTTCTCTTTGATTTTATTATTTAATCCTACTCATGGAAAATAGCCAATAGTAAGTCTTCCTCTCTTGCTCTAAAACTCCCCATTCACTGTGAAATAAACATTTTTGTTGACTGTGACTAGAGCACGATATGTCCATTTGCTTTTTGCACCTCCTCTTAAGCCCAGCTTCTTGCTCTTTTTAAAAACTGTTGCCTTATTTCTACATGTGTCTCAAGGCGACTAATGAAACCAAATTTTCTCAACAATCCCTAGAATTGGCTAGAATCTGTTTATAACATCTGAATTATTATGTTTTGCCAGAAGCATTAAAATTTAAGTTTATTCATTTTGAAATTATCCAACAAAAGTTTTCAAACTTATTCTTTTTTTTCTAAGTGATATCTTCCTTTAAATTTTACTTTCAAAAATTTTTTTTTGATACAGCAGTCTGTTCCCTAAAATATCCCCCCAATTCTTCTCTCATTCTGTGTTGTTGTTTACTTGCTGGAAAGAGTACGGTCAGGATATTAAGCACCTGTTTTATTATCACCATTCTAGAAATCAGATTAGCATGGAAATTATTTTGATTTTTCGTAGTTTCACTTAATAATAGATTAAAAAAGGAAGCCACAGTAATTTTTTTTTTTAAAGATTTTATTTATTTGAGAGAGAGAGAATGAGAGCGAGCACATGAGAAGGGGGAGGGTCAGACGGAGAAGCAGACCCCCCGCCGAGCAGGGAGAGCCCGATGCGGGACTCAATCCTGGGACTCCAGGATCATGACCTGAGCCGAAGGCAGTCGCTTAACCAACTGAGCCACCCAGGCACCCCAGAAGCCACAGTAATTTATACCCTAGTCATCAGGCCAAACTTCTAACATAAGCAATTAGATAATGTTAATTTAAAAAATCGGAACAAAATGAGAACAAGAAAATAAGATTTTCTGTCTGGTAACAGTGTACTTGTGATAACTCACTTCTTTCTCATCAATTTATCTTTTCCTAGATGTTACCACTCACTGGGGAGGCACATCACTCATAGAACTCTGTGATTATATCTTTTACAAAGAAGCTGATGGTTGTAAATAGAATGTACATTAATTAGTGAATGGATTCTCCTTCTGATGTGTTTGAATCTTATCAATTTTCCTTAATTAGTCTCTTCTCTCCCGAGGGTGCAGAGAAAAAGGATGAAACCTCATCTATATTTATAAAGAAATGAAAATCATTATCTTAATAGTTTTTTTTCTTTATACTATTTGGAAAGTATCTAAGTATACTGGAAGAATCTTATTCTCTTTTCTTCAGATGGTCTTTCCTCATTTTTTTCTTCTAATAAATACAGAAATCCATCTCTCCAGACACACACACACACACAACACATACATCCCTACAGATTTATTTTACATATAATTTACGTAAAATTTCAAAGAAATAACATTAGAATGCCTACTGCCTAAAGTTGTTTATTTAGCTTAATAAATTTGAACTTTAGCAAGATACTAAGAGGAGTAAATTAACTGATTAACATCAGGCTAAGGAAAGGATTTTGGAGTTCCTTTTCCATCTAAATCATAAGGTCACTCAATCAGATAACTTTGTGATTAGATGTGTCTTTTGGAAGGCCAATCTTCTAACAATGGATAATAGTCATGATGGTCAAGAAAGAGGGGGAAATTTAATGAGTGCCCCCCCCTTTTTAAGATTTTTATTTCTCTATTTGAGAGAGAACATGAGAGCATGGAGGGAGAGGGAGAAGCAGATTTCCCACTGAGCAGGGAGCCTGATGTGGGGCTCAATCCCAGGACCCTGATATCATGACCTGAGCTAAAGGCAGACACCCAATCAGCTGAGCCACCCAGGCACTCCTAGTGAGTGCCTTTCAATGAAGACCTGCACTGTGCTAACTTTGTCCTCATAAGAATCTTAAAATCGCATGCAGATAGCTTCCCTAGGAACGTCAGATCCACGTGACATCCTTCTCTACCTTGCATTCTGACCCAGGAGGCTGACCTGTATGGACTCTATCAATAAGCTCACTTGCCCTCTACTTTCTGGCAGGGTTTGACCGATGGGGAGGCCCAGCAGGACACTGGCAGGGGGGTAAAGTCCAGGTTTCCCTTGGGTCCAGGCCCATTAAGGTCACGTTGGGCTCCCTAAGTCCTTCAACTGAAGGCTCCAGCTCCTTTCAAAGCTGCTGAAATAGTGAGGGTTCTCCTACAGGGTTCTGAGAACTTTTCTTGTCCTTGTCCTTTTGGCCCTGGGGATGTAGAACCCCACTGGTGCTGCTAGATCCGGTTGCTACAGTAGACCATGGTGCCCCTAGAAACCACACCTTTTTAAGCAATCTACTTGTGGGTGATAGAAATTATGATATTTCTCATGGGCCACAGGTTTCCTGTTGGGATTCTGCCTGGTAAGGTAGACATAGCGTGCTACTGTATCTACCGATGATGCTTTATTGTACCTACTGATAAAGCTCAGAGAGGTCATGCAACGTGGCTAACTGGTGAGCCTGGACACAAGATGTCTAACCAAAGCAGGCTCTGTCTACCATACTCATGGCTGCCTGGCCATGAAGAAAGAAATCTACAGATACATATATGTGTCACAATATGTATGTATTAATATGCATCAAAAATACAGAAGATACATAAATGCATAATACATAAATCAGTATCATAAGAAAGTCACAGTTTTCATACTATCCCAAAGAAAACCTGACAGTTAGTAAAACTTACGTTGTGAACAGTTTGCCAGTAAGCTAACAGATCAAGTGCTGCAGGCACAGCATGCCATAGAAAACACTCTATACTGAAGCAGTCTTGAGGCAGTCATTTTGACATGGCTTATAAAACAAGCCAGTGCTTTTTTCCCATCTTCTCTTTAGAAGACTACGTCAAAGTACAAAACAGCTATACTCCGTCCTTCCCTGAGGTCCTTCCCGGGATAGGACCATGGATGAGGAAGAAATAGGCAGGGAAAGGGTTGGGAGTCAAGTAAGGGTGGGTGAAAATCAGATAGGTCTACTGCACACATTATTTACTTAGATATGAAAAATAATGTGATTATATTTTCTTGCAGCTCTTATGATACAGCTGTCAAAAAATCCACATCAATATGTCCTGCACTGCCAGCCTATGTTATACGAAATGCAGATCATCAGCTTTTTTTTTTAGTATTTTATTTTATTTGAGAGGGAGAGAGAGTGCATTCAGGGGGGCTGGTTGTGGAGGGCAGAGGGAGAGGGAGAAGCAGACTCCCCACTGAGCAGGGAGCCCAATGCGGGGCTCAATCCCAGGACCCTGAGATCACGACCTGAGCCGAAGGCAGACGCTTAACGACTAAGCCCCCCAGGCGCCCCAGATCATCAACCTCTTATAGGGACAGGACATTCTCATTATTGTCTTCTTTGTTCCTAGTTATAATATTTTTTAAATCCATAAATAACTAAAGATATATGTGTACGTGTACATATGTGTATATGTTACATCTATCTGTATGTGTATGTCTATCTACATACATATACATATGTGTGTATATATATGCACACATAGATCGTTAAAGAGACAGATGTTTTTCTTCATTTCTTCTAAGTTAACAGCATTTAAATATCATTCTGTTTTTTACAGCTCATTAAAATAAAACAGAAACATTCAGATGATGAGAAACTACCTGTCTGTCACCTACTGGCAGCTAAAGTGACCAAATAATAATGTAGTCACTACTACCTCATTCATGGAGAAGACAGTAACATACAAATTTGAACCTTCACACTTACACAAAAAAGAATCGTGTGCAGACATGATCAGTATTTGGGACGACCCATATCTCTCCATGTTTGTGCAGGTCAGGTGAGGTGATCACTGTAAGTGGAAGATAAAATTAAAGAACGATTTTACTCTAAGTTACTACATCCCTGCTCTTAGAAATCTAAAAGCAAAAAGTACATGCACAAACTAACACATGAAAAATGTTTAACCTTATAAGCTATCAAAAGTGTAAGTAAAAACAATAAAATGTCATGTGACAATTTTATGTTTTAAACGCCATCAGTGTAACAACAGGAAGGGAATCACTTGTATATTATCAAAAGCAAATAGTCCTGACTTGGAGACTGTGTAGACAGAAAGCAACTTCGTGTCCTATATTAACTATTAAGGGTTGAAGACTTAAAAGGCAGTTAACGGTGGCTACTGGAACTCCCAGCACCAGCTTTTTTAGTCAAGGTCAGATTTTATATAGAAAGAACAAAGAAAAGCATATGATCTTGCAAATCACCTATCAATTTGTCTACTTCAAGTTCAGAATAGAGGAATAATTTCGGTGTAGAAGCAGAAAGACCTGTTGGGTTCTCTCCTTAGTGCTTGGTTCATCTTTCACATTTTTCATGGTATTATACATTCAAAAACCAACTTAAAAAGGAAGGCGGCATATTCACAAAAGAGATTTGCAATACTTGATCAGAAAAATATAATTACCATTCTGCGGTATCTGCCAAGAATAAAATACAGCACTGTCTGAATTCTTGCCAATTCTGCTTTGTTTTTCACCTTTACGATCTCTATTGTACCTGTTTTCCATCTGTGCCCTTAGAGAAGGTCACAAGGAATAATGCTTTCACTAACCCATGTTGAGCATTCTGGAAATATAGTAAAATTCTTAAACACAGATAACATAGAGAATTAATGCTATGAGGTTGGTAAAACTTTCAACTTACCTTCACATAAGGCTATGCATTTTAAGTTACGGCTCTGCAGGAATTGGGACTGCTGTCCTTTTTTCTGTGACTAAATTCCAAAAGAATTTAAAAATCAGAGTTGAAAATAGGGCAGTTGCTCAAGTGAGAAAAGAATTCATCATCATTAAAAAATAATAGCCACTAAGATAGCTCCAGATTAGGGGAAAAAAAAAAAAAGGCCTATCTAGACTAGCAGTAATATCCTTGAATTCTTTAATGTCAAGCTATATTTGTTGTATCATTTAATTTCTGTACATAACTATTATTAAATCACTCTCAAGATAAGTGAACTAAAAACGCTCAATTAAAGTTTAACAGCCTCACATCATAGAATTAGAACTCAAATTTATTTTTACTGGAAGCCTGGCATCCTCATTTCAAGGGAAACAAAATTAAAATTGCATGATCTTTTCAAACATTACAATCAGTTATTCCAGATCATCTAACTTACCTAAAACCAACCCACTTTTACAGCACCATTAACTAAGCTACAGAGGTTACCAGAAAATCTCATGGAGAAAATCTGTAGTTTTGTTTTTGTTTTTAGATATTAGGTCAGCTATACTTTTTTTCCCCCCGTATTTTAAAAATCACATTACTCATTAAGTAGATTTCTCATTTGTCCAGAATGGTTGTTTCCACTGAAACAACAAGGGATCTGTGCTTGGTCTTTTCTCTGCCTGGAATGTTCCTTCTCCCATATGGCTCATGCATTCACTGCCTATAGGTCTCCGCAAAATAACCTCAGACGGAGTGTTCTTTCCTGGCCACCCCAGGCTACACTCATTCTGGTCCCACCTTCCATCCCACAGTACTCAACAGCCCTTTCCCTTGACTTTTCTCCATTTTTCTCTATCATCTAGCGTTCTTTCTCTCTAAACATACATTTCATTTACCCGTAGCCACTCAATAGAATGGAGGCTCCCTAAGGAATTCTCTAATGTGTTTGGTTCTATTTTTGATTTGTCACTAGAACCCACTGCCCAGGATTCTCTAACATTACAGTAGGAGCTTAATAAAGACTTGCTGAATATTGACTGAATAAAGGCGTTTCGATTATTACATTTTAGGGTCGGTTTTACACCTTTGTGAGTAATGGCCGCTTAAAATAATTCTGCAGACTTAAAACGCCTGAGTGCTTATTGAAGCCCTGCTGGCTAAGGAAGCCCAAGCTCCCTCATCCCATCAGCCACTCGAGTCACTACGACACCTGTGATGCACTGTTGCTTTTACTGCTGGACGCCGGCTCATCTTTGGCTGTCACCTTCTGCTTCTTGTTCATCCCTGAAAAACACCAGCAAAATCGTAATTGAGGGACAAAGCCGGGTGGTACCCCTCAAATGCGAGCCAGGGGCACTGCAAAGTTCCACAGGAGGTGCAGACCTCACTGCCTCGGGCCACGGATGGCCACAGGGGGCTCCGGGAGGAGCAGCTGCTGTGCCCTGGGAAGTCGGTGGGTTTGGGGAAGTCCTGAGGGTGTGAAGAGTGTAGACAAGCCAGCTTGGTTTTCTCTGTACTGAAGACAGGGACAGGAAGTTCTCTTGCGGGACACCTGGGTGGCTCAGTCAGTTAAGCGTCTGCCCTCGGCTCGGGTCATGATCCCAGAGTCCTGGGATCGAGTCCCGCGTCGGGAATCCCTGCTCGGCAGGGGGCCTGCTTCTCCCTCTGCCTGGAGCTCCCCCTGCTTGTGCTCTCTCTCTCTCTCTGTCTGTCCCTGACAAATAAATAAATAAATAAAATCTTAAAAAAAAAAAAAAAAGGAAATTCTCTTGCATAAAACTGATTGATAGATTTAGAAAATTCTTAAAACTTGGTTTTAAAAGGCTGGTAGAGCTTAAACTTTCATCCTTACCATCTGGTTAGTAGAAGGAGAAGGTAAGGAGCGGGAAACATGAACGACGTCAGAAAAATACATTTATGCTGAAACTTAACTTCATGAGTTGTTGATCTATATTTAATTCTGTGTAGAATTTACTGTACCGTCTAATAAAGAACATTTATGCAAGTTCTTTTGTCTGTGATCCTCACAAGTTTGAGCTTACTCTGTTAATGCCATGACTTTTTACTGTGACAGATTTTAGACAAAACAGAACTAAGATTCATGTCTGTTTTAGAATAGATAGATATTTTTCTATACTTCATTTGGAAATGCCCATCTACTGTCCAGAAATGGAGAAGTATGTTGATCTTTTTGTTGCTGTTGTTGCTGTTTCAATAAAGGCTTGATGAGAATGAATGAATTGCAAATGGTGTGGATATAACTCTTTCAAAGTCAGAAATATATCCCCCAGAGGGGCAGAGGTGGAGAAGGTCAGGCTGAGGTACAAGGCCAAGGGTTTCAGATGCGCACTTCTGGGAGAAGGCAAAGGCTGTTATCCTCAGAGAGGCTATGCCGCTCTCCACCCCCTTCGCTTGCAGCCTGAAAGCCAACTACGAAGCTACTTCACAGTACTTGATGACTTGGTATTTTTCCTTATCAGTGCTGAGGATGTATTTTCTTAAACTGGTTTTATTTTAGTTTTTTATTGTGTTACGTTTTAATGAGATTTAGAATCTGATTTATGCTGGTTTTAATTTGTTTTCTCCTTTGAACTATATTACTCTATTTCCTATATTATCTTATTCTTCCTGGTGTTTCTTTTCTTTTTTTTTTTTTTAAGATTTTATATACTTATTTGTCAGAGAGAGAGAGAGAGAGAGAGCACAGCAGGGGGAAGAGGCAGAGGGAGAAGCAGACTCCCCGCTGAGCAGGGAGCCCGATGTGGGACTCGATCCCAGGACTCTGGGATCATGACCTGAGCCGAAGGCAGACGCTTAACCATCTGAGCCACCCAGGCACCCCTGGTGTTTATTTTCTTAGTGTTGTTTTGGCATATTGTATTTCAAAGATCGTTGCAACAATATTTCTCAAGCCATAGGCTTTTCTACAATGTGACTTTGCCACATTTTCCTTTGGGGACTAATTCCCCACGCCTCAAAAATGCAGGGGCTTGTGACTGCTCTGACCCATAGCATATGTGGGAAGTGCCACCATGTGACTTCTGAGGCTAGGTCAAAAAAGGCCTACAAAGTCCACCTGGTGCTCTTAGGGCATGTGTTCTGGAAAAGGTTGGGGTGGAACCCTGAGAAACAACTTGTTGTGGCTGAAAGAGCATGAACGCAGGCAAAGCGATTAGATGGGCCTGGTTAACATTTACCTGGTGATTAGACCTCTCAAGATATCTTTTTCTATAATAGAGCATCTGAAGACTTACTAACCAGGTACCACCAGAATGACATCTCCTGAACCTGTGTAATATAATTATATTAATTGCCCATACACACGAGCATGCAAGCAAAACCAACTATATATGCAGGTATACGAATATAAAAACTTTACAAGTCTGAAGGGAAATACAGAGAACACCGGTTGGGGCTGGGGGAAAGGAGAAAAAAATTTCAGTTGTTACTTTACACAGTTCTATGTAGTTTCAATTTCCTTCTTTTTTTCAATTTCTTTATAAAAATGAACATAATTACTTTATGTTTAAATACATTAAGATATTGCTCTAAAAAAAAAAAAAAACACACCAATCATTGCAACATATTCCCCCAAATTTAAAAGTGCAAAGAAATCACCCCATATTCCACCACCTGAGGATAAGGAATGCTAATAATTTCATGACCTTTCTTTCCATATTTTGAATTTACCAGGCTCCTCTCCAGCACATGCTTTCAATTTTTTCCAAAATAATTTTTTCATACAATTTCACCAAACAAGATGTCAATAAGTAGGTTGATTTTGAGGGTGTTTTTCTAATCCTAAATTCTCCATACTGTTCAAAATGTCTTTATACGATATATAATAATCCAAAGAAAGAAGTTGGCATGATACAGAGTTACATCCCAGGATAGTGAATTACTACAGATGAATAATCAGTGTTCTAAGGAATGCTTTGCAAATACTACATTCTCAATAGTTACTTGTGGAGGGGATAAATGTAGAAACTACTGAACAAAATGGAAATTAATTTTGAAATTGAAAAAAACCACATATTCCACTTTATATACTAGGGTAAGTATTATAAATTCGTCCTGACATGTGAGCTTTGTTTTCGCTTCTGACATGAATCAAATGAATTAAATGCAAACATATCAAATAAGCTTCAGTCACCTGATATACAATAAAAAAATCAAAACCTCACACACTTGAGGTTAGAAATGAAACACGAGCTTACCTGAGTAACCAAAAGATATGCTTGACATTGGACTAAGATAGATTCCACTCCCATACATTGCACCGTGGAGCTAAAAGGGGAACAGGTGGGAGAGAAAGTAGACAGTCAATGGTTTCAAAGGTTAATATTTTACAAAAGAAAGGAATCAGTCTCATGTTGGGAGGATTAACTCTTAGAAAATGGTAAGGCTCTTTCCTAAAGCCTAATGTGAAAATAGTAGTATTATCATCCTTGTCTTCAACATTCAGTGAGTTGATACATGAAAAGTGATAGCAGGAGAAAAAATCCTTGATAAAGGTTTTCCACCCGACCTATGACAAAGACAGTCACTTATTATCAAGTACTATAATAGGTTTTTATGTTAATGACTCCAAAATATTGAAAACCGAACAGGCTGAATTATACACGACAGAGTTTTGATGAGGACGCACATGCTAGTATATTAACAAAGTAGCCTATTTAGATTTTCATTATGCAACACTGTCATCCCATTCCTATCTCCTTTTAGGTTAACAGTTTCATTAGCAGAAACTCTTCAACTGGTCTAAGAAACTACTCAGAACAATTAAAATTCTCTCTCATTATTTCCATGTTCTAGGGCCCCTGTACCTTATTTAGTATGAACTGAATACTAATTCAGTAAGTGTGTGTTTATGGACATTTACATTTAACTGTATCATCTCAACTGTCATCGGGAGTGTGAGATCCAGCACACGCGACAGGATTGAGCATCTCATTTTCTGACCTCTTCCCATCATCAGATGAAAATTAGCTGAATGAGAGTGAAGTGGGGTGTTGGAGGCGACGGGCATAAATAAAGATGAGCCCTATATCCACGATACCCCGCTAACTCCCAGCGCTGCCACGGAGACCATGAAACAGGCAGCAGATGGCTCTTTGGTGTCCAATCTCCCTCTTGCTGATTCTTGGCCTTACCTTTCCTTATCCTAAAGTATCCACACTGGGGCACTGCTCAAGAAATCCGTGTTGAATTATCAGACAGAATGCTTGTATGGTTTTACTTTCTGCATGATAATTTTCTTCTACTGAAGTTCAAAGTGATTTTACTGTTTTCTCATAGGGAATTCAGTTTCTTTTTCTTTTCATCCCTATATGGTGTACTGGTCAATTCTGCTTCAGTTATTTTATGAACATTACTTACGCCTTTTAGAAATCCTATGTAATTTTTAAAGCCCACTTGCTTCCCCTTTTTCACGTAATAAAAAAGCACCAGGATTGCTTACTGAACTCTAACACTAAAGAATATATGGTCTTGTTAAAGCATTCAGAAAACTTACCTGCAGTCTAGTATTAGAAGCAACAACCAGACCATTCCTCAGGATAGAGTGCCAGTTTTCAATGTGTGAGCCACTAAAACACAGAGGAGGGGAAGGACAAAGCAAAACCAAACATTAATAATCTAGATTCTAAAGTGGCCACAGTATAATCAGTCATGTACCCTCTGAAAGTCTTGAATTTCCAAATCAAGTATCAGGCAGTGGACTGTTCAGGACTAACAGCCAACTACTAAAAGAATGTTTTCCTCCCCACACACTTCTGGAGGATCGAGGGGAAGACATACCCCCATCAACAGGAAGCCATACTCACTGAAATGCAAAGGTGCTTCCAAAGAGTTTTTTAGCAGCTCTAAAATTAGATTCTTTGGCTGGTGGACTGCTGAGAAGAAGGAATTGATGTGGAGTGTGCATAAACTTCAGTTGCTGCCATTTAAAATAATGACAAATGAAAACATGTCAAAATTAACATATAATCAGACTGATGACAATTTCAAATTTTACTCATTTAAGAATTAATCGAGATTCAAGCCATACTAACTTACATTAACAGGACCATTCATTAAAAAAAAAAAAAAAACCTGCATAAATGATAAATCATATGGAGTTGCTGATATGATGGGTAATTTTTTAGGCTAATGGAAAAGGAATAGGAGACAGACAATCCAAAGTCATTTATATTTAGCTTTGGAATACATTCTGTAATCATGTCCAAGCAGATCTGCCTTCTTAATTATGTTTCTTTTTAAGGCTTTTATTATTGAATTCCCTAAGTATACACTCGTTATTCAACTGGGGAAATATCTGAGTTGGCTAAGGAGAAAAGAAAAGTTAGTTCAAGATTTTAAAATTGCAAAAATTATCATCATCACGCTTTATTTGCATACATTTATAAAACTGTAAATTGCCTACATTCAAATACAGTTCCCCCTTTGTTGACGGAAAGAAATTAAAACAATCTTTTGAATTAGTTGCTTGACAAAATTTTCTAATTGCTGCCCTTTCACTTAGGAATATACTTATATAGGAGTACAAAATAAAGGAAATCTCGCAGTTTAGAGATTCACAGACAGGAGAGCTGAGAGTTTGGATACTGCTCTTCTTTGTTTTCGATCAGAACTGAAATCAGAGTCCATCAGCTTCTTCCTTTATTCTGTAGGCGTATTAAGCCGAGAAGGCAGTATCTTCTCCACTTTGGGAAAGTGGGGCTGTGCCGACAAGAAACTGACAATGCTAAAAAAGCACATTACCTTCTTCTGGTCAAATCCAGATTCTTGCTATCACTTGTGGAATAACTAAATGACTTCATACTGACCCTTCTACTTACTTAAAAGGTCAGGGCAGCAGCCTGAATTTGAATTTGCTTTCTTGGGAAAACTCGGAGCTGGTGTACATACGGTAATTTCAAACTGAAGAGTTAGGCCTAACCTGAGATTACTTCAATTTCCTGGAGAGGATGCCTAAAAATCACAGGGGTCACTTCTCCCAACCAGTCAGGACGCTTCCCATTTCTGTATGTATATGTGAAAAAACAACTTACCCTGTTAACTGGCAGTTTCACAATATGTGACCTATTACTTGAAATAACCCTGAAATTAATTAAAATAGTCCATCAGTCACAAATATATGCCAAATATATTTTACGGTTTTTTTTTTTTCCCTTAGTTGGTAAGTGATCGGAACTTACGTTTGCTGTGACATTAACTAAATTGAGTAAGCATTTTACTTAATTACATCACTTTGCTTTGGTTCCTGAAACAATTTAAAGAGCTTATGGAAAGAAAAGGATAATATTTTAATCTGAGAATGAAGTAGTTCCTTAAAACCTGAGAGATAATGATTTTTAATAATTACAACCTCAGATACCGGCAAAATGAACATTTCTAAGCATACTTTCAAAGGATGATCCCCTAGATGCAAAGCTGATTCATACATCTGCTTCCTTGGTTCTTCCCTACACTGTCTAGTTAAGAATGAGTTTCTGTGAAGATCTTTTTCTTTCTTAAAATACTTGAGGACGTTTGTGCTGATATATATACAGTGGTATATACACAAACTGTTATTCACCATATTTAGACACTGAGGTTGAAAAAAATTACATTCAGGTATCTGAAAGAACTAATTATTTTTATGTTTTTCACAACAGAAAATAATAACTAGGGAAAACTCTAAAAAAACATTTTGGGAAATTTTCTTCTCCTTGAAAGAAGAGTGACTAACAAGCTGAAGGAAATGATCACAAATAATTAAAAGTTAACAATCAGGTTGACTACTGGGGGGGTGGGGGGGGAAGAGACTAGATATTTGAGATTTTTACCTTCATTGTGAATATGATTTCATGTGAGAATGTAAAAAATTACAATGAAAACCTTGTGTTATTCTACTCAAACAGAATTTTAATAACAGAGCATTACAGATACAAAGAAGGAAGCCTTCCAAATCTAATTTTTAAAGTTTTATTAGACTGAATGTTTATTGTAAAATCCTAAGTGAGAGTTAGGTAACCAGAATCATTCTTTCTCCTTTACCCATCTTTCCATAATTTTTTAAAAACTTCCTGGTTATAGCTAGATTAAATCTCATTCAGACCAATCTCTTATCACCTTTACATTTGTATTACTGCATTTATAATCTTGGTGAATTCCATAGTCTTTTAAGTTTTCAGTGATTTCAAAGAGACATGTGCATAAAACCCTTAGAGGTATGGGGGGGTAGGGATACTATTGTTTTCATTTTGCAAGTTAGAAACCAGAGGGCAAAGGCTTTGAAGCAGGTGTGGTAGGAACGGGGTCCTCAACCTGCTCTTCTATTCTCAGTCAGCCTTCCTAGGATCTATGCCGGACTCAAGCTATACCCCTCACCAGGCTCACTCTGAACAGAGCATCATCTGCAGCCGTCAAACAAAGAGTTCATCAAATTTATCCTGTTCTTGTTAAGGAAGTGAACCATACACTATGACATTTTAGAAAGATTTTCAATAAACGTCTGAAACTGAGTTTTGTCACTGAGTCCTCAGTTAACTAGAAAATTAAATGAACCCAAACGGCTTCACCATATAATTCAGCTAATCACATTTTTTTTTAAACTATAGACAAACTGCTGTCAAATACATCATTTATCTGTGCAGTGCATAGGACAGCATTTTCTTCCCCTTGTGATACACAAGTTTTAATTAAAATGAGAGTCATTAAGGACTCTGTAAAATCACCGGGCCTCATAGGCTTGCGGAACTGTAGCACTGCAGGTCTTGTAAAATAGGCCTTTCCCCCCCCCCTTAAAGCAGGCAGTAGAAAATGATGCTGTTTTCATTAAGAGGAAAACTAAAATTTTATACCATTGCAGTAGGGGATGAGCAAGGGGGTCTTGTTTATCCATCTGCTTCTTGATTTCCAGATATGGTGCCTGAAAAAAAAAGTCATTATACTTCTTGATTTTTCTTAAAAATTCCTTTTTCCCTTATGCAAAAGGAAAATCAGGTTGAACAGGTATGTCTAATCTAGTTAAACCCGAAGCTCTGTGGCCGTGACATGGTCGCAGCAACAATTACCCTCATTGTCCACCCCCCCCGCCCCCCTACAAGGTGCTATGAACTCTGAACTTCCATGTGGCCCAATGGGCTTGCCCAAACATTTTGCTCCAGAGGCTTCATCAAGTTTTAGCCTGGCTCCCACACACTAGGCCATGTCTAAAGGTGATCCCAGGCCCCCGACTGAGTCTCTGCTCAAGAAAACATGATGCTGCCCAACCACAAAAGGTACCTACCTTGTACCCACCCACACTGCTAGCCTTCCAGTAATTCTCTACTCATCCCCCTGCTGTAATTTCCTGCTTCCCCACAGCCCCCTATTTCCACTTCTCCGTAGCCCCCTTTTGTTCCCTCTCTGCTCTCCCTTTAAAAAACTCAGTCACTTCTGTCTTCCTCAGAGGTGACCTCACTCACACTGCAAGTCCCTCTCCCCCGCTGCAGTCCTCAAATTAAATCTCTCTCACCACCTTTAACAAGTGTCAGGTGCTGTCTCTTTTTGATGATGACTCTTTTTAACTTTTAACAAACATTAAAGCAAAACTTGTAAGAGCTACTACTCAGGCTCATATCTGAAGGTACTGACTTAGGTGCAGAGAAAACTGGACAAAACTTGCATAAGAAGAGCCCTTCTTTTCAAAGTATTTAATGGAATTTATCCAGACAATTATCCTTTTCATAGAACAAAAGGCAATCTGTCTGTGATAACTTGCATCTATCTATAGGGCAGTACCTTCTAGAAAATAGGACAGTATAATGTTATATTTATTTGGAGAGGTGTAAAGGATTTGACGCAATAAAACCTGGCAGCATCCCTGTGGAGTGCAGACTGGAAGGGGGTGCAGTGTTACTATTTACCACCTTGACAGTGAAGAAGCTAAGTGTCAAGCAATTAAGCAACTTGCCCAAGGTCACAGGCCGCATCACTGATGAGCAAATTATACAACACACGCCTCTGACTTCCTAGGCTGACACTCAATCGTCTCCACTGCCTTCTATTAAAATAGCTTACACATGACCCAGAATAACGGAAGAAAATTTTGGCAGAGGGCTGATCCAGAGTCAGAATTTTGTAGCTATTTTTATCCGAGAATGATCTGGGTCTAGGGTATATAGTATGATAAATACCCTATTATCACCAAAGTCTTTGGTGACTAAAAATATTTACTTAACTTTGTGTAAGCCATTGGAATAGGTTTGTTTTTCCCCCTAAGTGGAAATGTATTTCATTGTTTTCTTTTCCTTATACAAATAATAGTATTTGTTTGAAGAGGAATTCAGGTAATAGAGAAGAGTATGGGCATAGAAAAACAACGAGCAAGGATGATGGTTTTTAAGTAAATGATATAACTTGTGAATTAAGGATCTCTTCGTTTAAATTGTCTGACACACATTATTTGTTGAACAAGTGGATGAATATTTGACTACATGGAATAAGTAACTATCAAAAGACTCAAAACTCAAATTTGGGAATGTAAAAAGGTACTCTGGGAGCACATTTTCAAATACAGTAGGGGTGATGGCAGGGGTGAAGGGAGGAGTGACAGAGAAGCTTTGCGGGCCTCAAGACTGAAGGAATCCAATCCTCTCTCCCCAAAGACAGAAAGGACCCAGGGTAATGCTCAGGATAAGCCTCCTGGGTGTCTAGGGCAGTGCAAGCCTTGAAAAACCGCCATACATATGTAAACCAAACCCATAATGTGTGTTGTTGTCAATTATGGATTATTAATTTCTACTTATCATGATGAGTTTTAAGCCTCTCTCCAAATCTTTGGCAGTGGAAAGGCCTCAAAAATCCAATAGCATGTGCTTTGCGAAGAGCTGGACTATAGCCCAGTGATATGTTAGACTTTCATAATAAACCACAATCCTTGCTCATCAAACACCTCACCAAGCCTCCCTAAAGGGCTAAAAATATAAACTCATAACTCTCAGGGAGGCTAGTGTCCTCCAAAGTTGTTTGGAGATTCTATTTGATAGAATATTTGTTTTTATTTTGACATTAAAATAGTGTGTTAAAATTACTACCATTAATTAAAATGGACAGTCTAGAAAGATGATACCAGATTTAACCTTTGCTTTAAGATATTCTGACACACCACCACACACTCCAATTGTTGGAGAAATCATTAGGATTATAATCATTTAATTACCCTCCAAAAGTCAAAGTGGTAGTCCACCAGTACACTGATGTAATTTAATCAAAACATCCTAGTACAACACCATTTTAATTTTTGACATATTTTAATTACATTCCCATCTAATAGAAAAATCTACACTTCACTACATAGCCAGTACTCTCAGACATTTTTAAAATATGATTTTACTCAAGCAAAACTGAACTGTACAAGACCACAAGATGATACACTTACTTGTGTCATTTCTCTAATAGAAGTTATGCTATCCAGTGCTTTCATTACTCGATCATAGTTCTTCTTCTGTTTGAATGGAAAAAAAAAAAACGGTATTCACTATAAGTCTTTGCAAGCCTACGTGTTACTGGAGAAACATATTTTCCCTGTACATGGATTTCCCATCAGAGTCGATTTGAAAGCAGTGACTGCGTTGTGTCCATAAAAGGGAAGGCTTTAATAAGATGATTCTAGGATGTAGGATATATAACTGAGTTAGAGGGAAGAAAAAAGAAAACAATGCCAATCCTAATATAAGTACATAAAATCATGTTTAGTCTATAGGGGGAGAACTATAAATATAAAAAAGATATTGTGCTCTTGATTCTTTGTGTCACCAAAAAGATTAAGCCATGATGAATAAAGTAAGAACAGAATCCTTCTAAAATACAAAAATCCACTTTGTCTTATAATATCATTTTGCTTTTATTTTCTTTTGATTGAAAGATTGTTACCAAAAGAGTATGACTAGTGAGTATATCAATGACACCACACACTTAACTGATAATTCATCTTTTTTTTTTTTAAGATTTTATTTATTTGACAGAGAGACATAGCGAGAGAGGGAACACAAGCAGGCGGAGTGGGAGAGGGAGAAGCAGGCTTCCCGTGGAGCAGGAAGCCCGATGCAGGGCTCGATCCCAGGACCCTGGGACCATCACCTGAGCCAAGGGCAGACGCTTAATGACTGAGCCACCCAGGCGCCCCTGAAATTCACCTTTAAGTATACTCTAACTATGTGTACTCTTGCCACTTATGAAGGAAGGAAAGCTTTTCCAAGGACATTTTATATAGCCATTGTGTCTACAAAATGATTTCAAGATGGATAGTAAGAGAAACTAAGGCAATTTTAGCTCTCATGCAATTTGAAAATTTTGCTATTTCAGAAGGATTCTGCCTCATCTCCACAAATATTTATAAAACTGTTTTCTCAAGGAATGCCACTTGATCGACAATATGGACTAAACTTTCACTAATCTTCAGGTAACTAGGGAAAAGGCAAGGGATGATTAAGTAAAAATACAAAAGAAAGCAAAAATCAGTCCTTTTACCCACAACCCTTAAAATTACCATGAGGTTATATTACGCTAGACTCTCAAAACTATATAATGAAATTAATCATATCAATCATTACTACCTAGTTTATTACTGCTATTTACCTGCCTTTCATGCAGATGGGATGTGTAAAGATTGCAATTTGAGAGGATGAAATGGGTCTAGTTTCATAAAGATGAAGTTCTGAAAGTGATTTTAAAAGATGAAAGGACAGGGGAAATAATAGGATATGGGAAAGACTGAAGGAGGCAGTAAATAGAGTTTGTGGGAAAAGAACGGTATTTATTAAATGGATAGAGTCCACCACGGGTCAGAGATGGGCCTGATGAGGGAGTGAGTTAGACGGAAAGAGGGAAGCTGGCAGCTCTAAAATCTCAGCTGCTGTTACAGGGGGCGGGAGGGGCGTATGAGGAGAAGTACTCACCCTGGGGTTGAAGGCCAGCATCTGAGGATCGTTAGGATCCACCACAGAAGGATATGGCTCGAAAATGACAACTTTTCTAGGAGATTCCAGTGCAGACCTACACATGGATACTAGTAGATCTACCACCTTGAAACACATACATAAGAGAGTTAGCATCCTTCGCGATCCAGCGCGTGCTTTGCCATTGCTCCTCCCGCTCGTGGTTGCGGAAGTTAAGTAGGAAAATCTCAAAACTGCTACCAACTTTGTGGCTTCAGACCACAGTTGACCAAACCTGACCATTAACTTCAAATGACTGACATGTGTTGCTTCCGATAACGTCCTAGTATCTCTTTGTCATGAACTCTCTACTATGCTCTCACATTGCTCTAGGTTCCATGGCAGACATGCACAAGAAAGACAGGTCCTCTCTTTCATGGAATTTACATTCTAATGGAGAAGATGCATAACCAAATAATCAGTTAAATATATGCTCAGATACATTTCTGGTAGTGTTGAATGCTGTAAAGTTTAAGCAGGTGTTAGAGACTAAGGCAATAGGGAATGCTGTTTCAGAGTGGCTAGGAAGGTGGTGATACTTCAACAGAGACCAGAGTGAAGACAGAGAGCGAGATAGAGCTCTGGGAGAAACTATTCCAGGTGATGGAACTGCAAATTCAGGAGATGAGTCTGACGTGTTCCAAGAACAGTAAAGCTCCTGACATCATCTTACTTCTTCCTACTCTCTGCCTCAGGCCATTCATGACCTTTGGTATGCTAAATATGATGGCTTTATTCCTATGTTCTTCTGTGACCTCTTAACAATTTACTAAGAGGCAGTGTCATTTAACGGTTAGGAGCAAAGCCCCCCTTCTCCAGTTCCCAAAACAATATGCTTCTGGCAAGTCAATCGAGAAAACGGACACTGTCTAAATGGAGAGAGGGCGCCCAAACAGACACATCGACAGTGTGAAGATAGGGGACATCATAAGGAAAGCAGTGGACTTAATCTTTACAGAGAAAAATATTTCTAGAAAGCTTTTAGACAGGCATTTAAAAAATGTAGAGTAAGAGTAAAACAATTTTTGATTCTTGTGGTTCATGGGAGGGGCACTGTGACCTAATGACCATGTGCTCACTATGTTGTGTGTACACTCACAAAACACATCCACCCAATCACAGCATCCAGAACTTCCAGTGACCTAAAATAATCAGCAACACTCAAGCCATTGGGCATATGATCTACAAGAAACCCTTCCTAAAGTACACAGACATACACCCCACAAGACTCACTCAGAAAACAGTAGAACTGAAAGAGCTACTGTTTCCAACACACTACACCCTTTATGTGTGTGTGTGTGTGTGTGTGGTTTCCAAGCAATATATATAATAAAGACATAATAAAATCCTTTTTGTCTTCTGCACCCACACTTACACTCCTTCTACCCCAGACAGATGCACTTTAACCTAGACACAAATTGTTTTTGGCATTTTCTGGTCTCTCAATAAAAGAAAAATCCAAATAAAAACTCCTGAAAAAGAATAATCAGTAAAATAAAACAGCCTTTTCTGGAACTCTGGCAGTGGGGAGGGAATTGGTACTATCTTATAAAAATTTTTAAGAATTAAAAGTCACAGTATGCAAATGAAGTGTTAGAAAAGTTCATGCCCTTTGCTTTAATAAAGGGTCAAATGATCTTTGATAAGGGTACTAAAACCACTCAGTGGAAAAGAATAGTTTTTTTATGAATGACGGTGGGAAAACTGGATATCCATATGAAAAAAAAAAATGAAGCTGGACTTTTATCTTACACCATACACAAAAATTAACTCAAAATGGAATAAAGACCTAAACATAAGACCTTAAACTATAAAATTCCCACAAGAAAACATGAGGGAAAAACTTCATGACATTGGACTTGGCAATGATTTCTTGGCTTGACACCAAAGCACAAACAATAAAAACAAAAATAGACAAATGGGACTACATCAAACTTAAAAACTTTGGTACATCAAAGGACACAATCAACAGAGTGAAATGGTATGGGATGGGAGAAAATATTTGCGAATCAGGTATCTGAAAGCGGGTTAATATCCAGAATATATAAAGAATTCCTACAACTCAACAAGAAGAAATCAAATAATTTGATTTAAAAATGGGCAAAAAACCCAGATAAGCAATTCATTAAAGAAGACATACAGATGGCCAACAGCACATGAAAAGATGCTCAACATTATTAATCATCAGAGAAATGCAAATCAAAACCATAATGAGATATCACCTCACAACCATTAGGACTGCTACTATCAAAAAATAAAAACCAAAACCAGAAAATAACAAGTGTTGAGCACATGAAGAAACTGGAGCCTCTGTGCACTGCTGATGGAATTATAAATTTGTGCATCTGCTACAGAAAACACTACTATGGAAGCCCCTCAAGAAGTTAATAATAGAACTTCCATATGATCCTGCTGGAAGTGACAATCCCACTTCTGGATATATATCCACAATAATTCAAAGAAGGGTCTTAAAGACCTATTTGCATACCCATGTTTACAGCAGCATTATTCACAAGAGCCAAGAGATGGAGGCAACCAAAATGTCCATTGACAGTTGAATGGATAAAGATGTGGTATTTTTACATTTTGAAAATTTTGAAAAATTATTCAGCCTAAGAAAGGAAAATTCCATCACATGCTACAACATCGCATCGATAAACCTTGAGGACATTATGCTAAGTGAAATAAACCGGTATAAAACAAACCACAAAAAGACAAATACTGTAAGAGTCCCCCAAGAGGTATTTAAAGTAGTCAAATTCATAGAAACAGAAAGTAGAATGGTGATTACCGGGGCTGGAGGAAGGGGGCTACATAAGGGGAGTTGTTTAATGGGTATAGAGTTTCAGTTCTGCAAGATGAAAAAGTTATGGAAATCTGTTTCATGACAAGTTGAATATTGTAAACACTACTGAACTGTATGCTTAAAAAAGGGTTAAGATAGTAAATTTTATGTTACGTGTTTTTTATCACAAGAATAAAGATACAAATAGATACAATAGTAATAACCTGAACAATGTATCCCTTTCAATCAAATATTTATTAAACACCTTGCGCCAGAAGCATCAAAACAATCAAAACTACCAAAAATTATATGCGTTCTTCTGCCAATAATTTCATCATTGGAGTCAAGTAAACTATAATGAAATAATAGACATGGGGGTAGAGAATTCAATTAGAATATTTCTGCTAAATAGATGTTCTAAGCCAACTTAAAAGAAACAGCGTTAACTACCACAGCAAAATCTCATGCTGTCCACCAAAGCCTCCTACTTCTTGCTTCCCAGGTAGAGAGCTATTGACGGGAGGCAGCTGCTCTGCGTGCGACATTTCCACCCCTTTTGTCTACGTAAGGCTTCGTGATTAGTTTTAACCAATGGAATTGGATCGGCAGTGGAAAAGGGTGGAGTTGATGAATAAACAGGTGCACCTTCTTCGCTTTTATCTCTGCCTCTGCTGTATGCCATGTACCTAAGACAGCAGAGCCACACAATGGAATGGGTCCAGTTAACTCAATCATCACACAGAAAGCTGCCCGTCCATTCTAACTGGACGGTTGTGGGAGCAAGAAGTAAAAATGTGTATCATCTTAAGCCACTGTAATTTTATGACTTATCTGTTACAGAAGTTAGCAGGCAGAATTTTTGAACAAGAAAAGGTCTGTATAACACTGTTTGGATTTGTATTCATTTGCACGTTAATTTTTCCATGGAGTAAAATGTCTACTTAAAAAAAATAAAACATAATGAACGACTATGTTTTTTTTTTTTTTACCCCAAATCATGTATTTCCCCACTCCCAGCATTTTAAATGATTCTTTTTTTTTTTTTTTAAGATTTTATTTATTTATTTGACTGAGAGAGAGACAGTGAGAGCGGGAACACAAGCAGGGGGAGGGAGTGGGAGAGGGAGAAGTAGGCTTCCCTCTGAGCAGTGGGACCGATGTGGGGCTCGATCCCAGAACTCTGGGATCATGACCTGAGCCAAAGGCAGATAGATGCTTAACGACTGAGCCACTCCGGTGCCCTCCCCCCCTTTCTTTAAGTAGGCTCCACGCCCAGAACGGAGCCCAACAAGGGGCTTGAACTCACGACCCTGAGATCAAGACCTAAGCTGAGATCAAGAGTCTGATGCTTAACTGACTGAGTCACCCAGGTGCCCCAAAATGAAAGATTCTTAATGGGATCTTAGCACATAATGGTGAGTGCTATAGTCAGCAAGTTCCAGACATCTTTCTTCTTACACTGAATAATATAATTGAAGAGGCAATCTGGAGGCTAATATACTTAGGATAGAGAAATACAGAATTCAAACAATGGGAATTAGGCCATTTGATGAGTGAGAAAAGGTCAGTGGGTTTATAGAATCACATGCTTCCAAAGGCCATTATATACAATCCATCTGGTAGAGCAAGACTCTCAACCCTCCCCTGCAGGTAAGGAAGACCCTGGAGCACTTGCAAATGAGAAAATTCAGGTCCAGGTGAGTAAGAAAGGCAAGTGCAGGAGTGGCCTACAGATATATAATGTATTCTGGAAAATAGGTGAATTTAAAATTGAAGATCAATGGCTTTCAAACATTTCAATATTGATCCCTTTTATCTTTTTTTTTTTTTAAAGATTTTTTATTTATTTATTTGAGAGAGAGAAAGAGCACAAGAGGGGGGAGCGGGAGAGGGAGAAGCAGACTCCCTGCTGAGCAGGGAGCCCGATGCGGGACTCGATCCCGGGACTCCAGGATCATGACCTGAGCCAAAGGCAGTCGCTTAACCAACTGAGCCACCCAGGCGCCCTGATCCCTTTTTTTCTAAATAAAATCTTATATGAGCGCTGTGAATTGTGTAAGACTGTTGAATCACAGACCTGTACCTCTGAAACAAATAATACATTATATGTTAAAAGAAAAAAAAAAAAGAAGAAGATAGCAGGAAGGGAAGAACGAAGGGGGGGAATCATCGGAGGGGGAGACGAACCATGAGAGACTATGGACTCTGAGACAAACAAACTGAGGGTTCCAGAGGGGAGGGGGGTGGGGGGACGGGTTAGCCTGGTGATGAGTATTAAAGAGGGCACGTACTGCATGGAGCACTGGGTGTTATACGCAAACAATGAATCATGGAACACTACATCAAAAACTAATGATGTAATGTATGGTGATTAACATAACATAATAATAAAAAAAATAAAATAAAAATTAAAAATAAATAAATAAATAAAATCTTATATGAAAGCTCAACACAAATAAATAAAACGGAGCTGTTTTGGTTGAAACAGTATATAGGGGCTTGGAATCCTAGCTGCTGAGACAATCTCATCCCAGTCCAGCCTCCTGCAGTGTCCATTTAAGGACGGTTCTTGCAACCTCAGAGAACCACTTAAAATGCAGGAGTCAACAGATGCACCAGGATTACTGAGATACAGTTTCTTTCTGTCTAGAAAGAGAATCAGTTTCCATGTAATCTTTAGAATTATAACCAGAATATTGTGTACTTGCTTTAAAGTAGTGAAAAGAATATTCTGCTTCAGATAGAATCACTAAATTGATATGATCGAGTAATTGTGTTTTGTAACTATCATTATAAAATCCAAAATTAACTTCTCTTTAACAACCATTATTTTTTGAGAGGTATCTATAATAAGCGGGGGGGGGGGAAGCACCTAATATTCTGTCAATCTAGCCTACTGTTATCATGATGTTCATTTTCCTTCTAATTATTTCTTAGTTCCAGGCTCTAACTCCTTCCCTTTTCACATCGTCTGAGGGACAATTTACATCCACTAAAATGCACAGATGTTAACTTTACCACTTGAAGAATTTTATATATATATATAAGATATATATATTATATAATATATAAATATATATAATATATATAAAATATATATTTTATAAATTATATATAAAATATATATAATACATATATACCCACATACCTATTCATGTATGTATATTCACAAACATACACACAGCTGTGTAAAGCTTAATCATTTTTACATAGCTATGTTTTAGTGTATGTGCTGCTGAATCGAGCACTTCAAATAGCTATAAACAGCATATATTTAGGATCTTTTTTTTTTTGAGCAGTATTAGTTCCAATTGATGAGAAAAACTTCCACATTTCAAAAAAAAAAGGAAGGAAAGGAAAAAGATCCACCATGGTCAGATACATTTGAGAAATCCTCCAAGTACTGGCTACTTATTTTCTTAGTTTCAGGGATTCTGAGAGCCTTTAATATGCAAATATGTGCATGTTAGCTGTAGGGGCGATATTAAGCCATATTTCTGAAATTTAATCATGGAATCTTTTTTTCCACATTACATATGATCAATGCTATACTGTTTGTATTATTGTTCATTTATAATTCACCATATCATAACTGTTTTCCTTAATATTTCTTCAAGGGGATGTACCTCCATTTAGGTAATCAGTGAAATGATTAGGTTAACAGGATGTATGTACATCCACGAGGTCTGTGCTAGTCTATATTAACTGCTGTACTTTCATCTGGAGTAATGCCTGTTAATTCTAGACATTCGATACTTATTGAACGAATGTCTGGTTTTTTTTTTTTTAGATTTTTTTTTTTTTTTAATTTATTTGAGAGAGAGAGAGAAACAGCATGAGAGGGGAGAGAGAGGGTCAGAGGGAGAAGCAGGCTCCCCGCTGAGCCGGGAGCCCGATGTGGGACTCGATCCCAGGACTCCGGGACCATGACCTGAGCCGAAGGCAGTCGCTTAACCAACTGAGCCACCCAGGTGCCCGAACGAATGTCTGTTTTACAGTCATTTTCCCCCACCCATCTTTGCAAATTTTGTAAGTAACAGACTGGTAATTCTCTTCACATTTAGCTTCCTGTTGATTTTAGTAAAGCTGAATATTTTCTTACGTTTCTTTACTAACTATATTTGTGAATCGTGTGTTCATTTCCTCTATTAATCTGTTATAGTCCTCGTGTTTTTCTTTTCAAGTTTTATGTGCTTTTATACAATTATGTTTGAGGCAAAACAAATTTTCTCATACTTAGCTCTTAACATTCACTATTTTTTCAAGTAAAAAACATAAAGTATGTATGGCAAAACTCTTCATTAAGCCATTAGGAATTTGTTTTACACACAGTGTAAAGGGCTAAGCTGATTTTCTCCCCCATGTTGCAGGTCATTTCTTCCCACCTCACTTACTAAATCATTTTAATTTTACAATGTGACATGATACTTCCTTTGAAGTCTATTAAATGTATTTATAATTAGATCTCTTTGGGGGATTATCTGCCATTCTATTCTTTGCCAGGACTGCATTTTTTTAAAAATATAGGATTGCATAATATGTTTTTGTATATGGTCGGTCTAGCCTCCCTTAATTAGCATTCTTTTCTTTTTTTTTATGTTTTCTCTGATTTTTTTTCTTATAAATTTATTAGGAAGTTAGGTTCCATAAATAAATTTAAAAAAAGCAATTGAAATTTTGATGGAATTCATGAAGTAAATTCTGGCATCTTTAGAATTTATTTTTTCCTTCCAGAAACATGGAATGCTTCTCTACTTCCAAGTTGTTTCATTCATTTTTATATTTTTCTTCCTATGTCATAAACACTGCTCTTGCAAAATTGGATGCTTTTCCTTATATGTTCGGCCCTTTATCTTTTCACCTAAGTTTGAAAAATAAATTGGCTTCCATTTTATGGCACTATAACTTTACAAATAAATTTTACATAATGCATGTGCAAGGGTTTCAATATTTCAACTTCACCATGACAGAATCACAGTTATTTTTTAAACACAAGAAAGTTGGCTTAATTTCTTCCCTCGCCCAACTGCCAAATGACAAAACACTCACTAGATACAGATAGCAAAATTCAGTTTCCAGCTAAAAAAAAAGAATCAAATGCCAGCTTGCTTTTTAATCTAATGTCAAACTATCAAAAATGTGTCCAAAAGAAGAGCAGACTGATGGTAACTAGTGGATCAGAATAAATTTTTCAAATCAAAATCAGGACTAATTAGCACTGTGTGCTCCTACCTGAGCTCCAGTTGCTATCTCATCAGCAGCTTCGTTCATTACTCCCAGGGTTTGAAAAGCAAACACACACAGCTCTCGCTCACACACAGTGGGCTACAAAAGAAAGGGCAATCAGTTACAACAGTTTTTTCCATTTCCCAATTCCTAAATTAATTTTATGACATTCCATTAAATATCTAAAAAAAAAATGCGAAGTTTCAGAATGTTAAAAAGAAAGGAATCATAGGACCCTATTTAACAAAAGTTAAATTTCTAAATTTGGGTAACAATTCAGGAAAATAATCATCTAGTGATATGGAGTCACTAATACAAGAAATTCATTTCAAATAGTTGTAGGTGCTTGCACTTAGAATTTTTAGCAATAGATGGAAAATCCATCTCTCCTACTTAATACACATTTGTACCTGATATGTATTAAAAAAAGCAGACACCTAAGCTGGTGATATACTAAAAAATGAGGTTAAACCCAACAGCTGTGTAAAACAAATATATCAAGAAGAATTCCACTTTTTCCTAGGTAATTTTCTTTGGAAGGAATAAGCATGATTCTGCTTACTTGCTACCCAGCTCTTGAAAGATTGGTTTTGTTGCAAAGACTTTTGACTTCAATAACCTCCTGAAGTCAACAGCACTGAAATATACACTCTGCAATTGCTTTGGGAGACTTCTCATCTTTCACATCTAATACAGTGTCATCTGTCTGATTTATCTTATCTCCCGAGTTACGTTGCATTAGGTAGCTGATGAAGCCTGACACGATACAACCCACGGTGCCGCTGCCTGGCAGACAAAAGGCATTTTGTTAGTGCCACTGCTCCTACGCTCACTCATTTCCGAGGACTTAGTCTAGTGCTTAACCAGTGGGAAGTATGGTCCTTTATGGTCCATCCTTCATGTTCAGAATGGGTCCATACGGTGGCTTTGTGGACAGAAGCATGACCGATCACAAACATTTCTGGTTGATGTTTCCCAAAGAGAATTTTAGGAAAAAATCAACTGATACATCCCTTTGTCCACCTTAAAAGGGCAGTTTGATTACATTTCAGAAACATCAGGAAAAACTACCTACGAGAAGAAATTAATTGGAGAAAGCCCTTCACCCAGACTCAAACTATATACACACTGCTATATATAGACAGCTATACTTAGAGCAGACTGTTCAATTTCTGCTTATTCTTTTCTTAAGGGTTTAACCTATTTTTAATATTCTATTTTTTTGTGTGTTTATCTATGTGCATGTATGTCTCAACCTCAATTTTCCCCAGGGACATTGGTTGTTTCTTTTGTTCAATTTCTGGGAGCATGATATGGTCTGAAATAATAAGAGCAATCATTTATTGTACCTTTACCACAGCGACAAACACTATATTGGTGTATAGTGGACCTGTATACAAAAAGAATCCATGGAGAAGATAAACCATGGAAATCATAAAGGGCCCTAAGAATTTATTCATGTACCAGTTACCCAACAACCTTCACTGAGGAAGTAAACAGGGACACAGAAGGTATTTTATTTTTAATACTACTCTCGTCAAATAACCATACATTTTTTGTGAATAAAATCCATCAATCCCAAAGGAATAATAGGATAAAGCTTATTTAGTGTAAACAAGTAATAACTGATTTTATTTTTTCATTTGAACTTTGGCAATCAATTATACTTATTTTGTGATCATCCAAATATATATGTATGTATGTACATATGTACATGTATATTCACAAACAGATTCCAGGGAATGTTTTAAAACAATAGAAACTATCTTTTACAGTACCAAGTTGTTGCTTTAAACAATGGAAATTAAAATGAAATAAAATATCTCACACTCCACTAGATTGGATGGATAAATTTTTAAGATTTTAATATAGGAAAAATGTCTAAGACTGAAGAAAAAATAGAATATTCTTACATATCTCTATCACACTTTGTCCCCAATCTTAAGTATTCATGTGCCACCCCTGATTTTGTCTCAAATAATTTTTACCAATTTCACCCTGACCTCCTACTTTTTTTTTTTTTAATCTTGGTTAACAAATGAGCAACATTTCAATGCTTTCTTCTGTATTTCCATTTCATCCTCTTCCCAGACCTGATTATATTCAAATCTCCAAATCACATGGACTTGCCAACTGACCCATTACTTTTTTTTTTTCAAGGATTTTATTTATTCATTTGAGACAGAGAGATACAGAAAGAGAGAAAGCATGAGCAGGGGGAGATGGAGGGGGGAAGCAGACTCCTCGCTGAGCCAGGAGCCCAGCGTGGGTCCCAGGACCCGGAGACCATGACCTGAGCTGAAGGCAGACGCTAACCATCTGAGCCACCCAGGTGTCTCTGACCCATTACTTTAAATAGTAAACATACATTCCTAAAGATAAAGCTATGGCTTGATTACTTTATGGACACTTCTTTTCTTTCCTTCATCTTTTTGGTTGAAATGTATAAGGCTGATTTATAGGAATATACGGTTACTGCAACTATTTGAAGAAGGAAATCAGATACCCTAGAAAACTTTGGGGGGAAAAGGGCAATTTCGCTACCACACTAAAAAATTAGAAATACACATTACATTCTTATAATTTTATCTTCCCTCTTTTTAAATAGCAAATATAGAGGTAGTAATATGGTGATTAATTTATATGCTATATTAACACCAAACTAGGTAAATACTAGTGAATCTTTAAAATAACAATTCTGTATCTACTGCTCATTTTTACTAGAAAGTTCAAGACAGTATTTGAGATGTAAATCAACTTAATTTTGAGATAAACATTTACAAACTAGATTTTGTAAACTTTTGACCCTCCCTTCTCCCATGTTTACCCACATTTTATTTGAGAAGTTGAAAATGTCAACACAAGATAGCACACGAAAACAAAGTTCTCAAATCATATTAAGCAACAAGATTAGATGTCTCATTGCTCACAGAAAGGATATCTTATTCAAAAAAGAGAAACCTAATCATTCTTACCTAATGAAACATAAGTAATTATATTGTGGGTTAGTGTTCTCCCATGTTAGCTGACTCTCAGCTAATCCCCCACCCCCAGCATATTCTGCTATTACTATACTTATTTATACAGAAAGCTCTAGCATCAATTAAAAATAGAACGTAGGTGGGTCACCTGGCTGGCTCAGTTGGTAGAGCATGCAACTCTTGATCTTGAGGTTGTGAGTTCAAGCCCCACATTGAGTGTGGAGATTATTTAAATAAATGAATGAATGAGTGAATAATAACATATACCCCAATTTTTTTAAGTATTAAAAAAAGAGAACATAGTCATTTAATAGCTATTACTGGATAAATGTAATGATGTGTCTTACTACACATAGTTTAATACAAAGCATATATGCCTAAATATAACCAAATGTGTACATCATTTATGAATTCATTTTTTAGTTTACAATCAATAAGTCTTAATTTGTAAAATATTACCAATTCTTAATGTTATTGTATTGTCCTCAAGCAATTAGTTCCTGTAATTTGAACTGTAAAACCATGACAAGTCCCTCTTGCCATTCTACATACATAATTTTTTTGCAATATATTCATTATGCACCATTTGAACACAAGGATAACTTTATATGTCCCTAAGATTTATTTTAGAAGTTTTAAAGCTAAGACAAATACATTTTAAATTTTAGTTGAATCAAAACCATTTAAATGTGTGCAATGAAAACGTATTTCAAAAATGGTGAAGCCCTAAAGAATATTTTAGAAACTAACTGCATTTTAGAAACTTTGTGTCTTCAATGAATTTAAATTACTTCCTACTAAAAACAGAAATGGTAAAACTCAAGAGAATCTAGCTATGTACTTATATATAGCATGGTGTAGGTGAGAGGTTTTCAAACCTTTTCTGCCATGCTCTTTCCGTTCAAACAAAATTTTTCATGTAAGCCCAATATATAGAACAGATAAAAAATGGTGATTGTTCCAATGGGGGCAGATGCGCACAGTTCAGTTTTCCTGTCTGTAAAACAGGGATAAAAAAATCACATCTAGCGAACCAGGTTAATAAGAAGACCAAGAAAGAGAACCAAGTAAGATAAGGTTTAGAAAATCTCCCTGAGCTGTTTAAATATTAACAATATTAGGTAACTTGGATAAGCTATACCTTCTACTTGTTTTAACCCAATGTGTATACAAAAATAAGTGTTTAATAAAAATTTTCATTAAAGCTTATTATGAAATCATAGTTTTATTTTCATATCCATAGTTTATTGAAACCCTTAATTTATTGTTAAAATTGTTCTTGCTAAAAGAGAAATGAGCAATGTAAATAAAATTCATAATTAAAAAACTATGTTTTCAACATATGAGAATAATTAAGAATAGCTACCAGAAATTCAAAACCTATAAGCCTTTAGCTCTTTGTATTTCTGATTTTATAGTCAATGCTTCCTGTTCTTTTCATGGTTTGGAAGAGAGACACATTCAGGGCAGGGATGGGGCGGGGGGGAGTTCACTGTCCATCAAGAAAGACAGGAATCCCACAGAGATCAAGACAGATTTATAGTAAAGATAGGCTCATGCCTGTTTAAGTTTCAACACAGTGTTCCCTATTATCTCATACAACTAAAGTTGTTGTTTGAGCCTTAAAACCAATTTCTTTCTACTCATTTTGGATGTGAAAAAAATCATATTTCTGAACTAAAGTGTTTGGTATAATTACTATTTAGCCTGTATTTCAAAAATTGAAATCTTATTTCTGTGGCATGAGGTGGGGGATGCGAGGAGGAGTTGAGGAGGGAACAGGATGTGCTTTTCCATCCATTCTTCAAATATTAAAGTCAGACCTAAATACAAGAAGACCTACCTGTTTTACTCTTAGGAAGTAAAATGCGACATATCAGGGTTTACCTACATGTTCAGTTTCTCAATAATTTTCATGGGAATGCCTTAAACTTATGACCAAATTATAACTGGGTGTCATTAATTACACTCTGAAAATAAGAACTTAGTTACAAACATTTATCTAAGGTCCACAGCTCAGGTTTCTCAGCTGATTTTGCTTCAGTAGGACTGGGCATTATTCTCGAACAATGATACAAAAATCTCAAGCCTCATCAGTGCATTCATAGCAAGCAATCTGGAATATTTTCACATGACAGGAGAAGAAAATGAGATCATAATTTTCATATCATATGTTGATCTGGGAAATGGGAAATTCTACTAACCAGGGACATACAGAATGATTGCCAAGTACCAATGATAAACTTCTAAACACAGAGACCCCAATCCTTACAACCATTGTGGTTTTCTCCAACCCAATTCAGCAGCGCTTGTGCAGGTTCAAAGAAGAAGACAAAGTTGCATTGATCATGGCGTTCAGTGTGAGTATAACAAAAAGACAAGGACACTGGGAAGGAAGAGGCTGAGAAAACAGTGGTGAGTCTGGCAATAAATCCTTATTTTTGTGTTTTCCAAAAATACTGGATGAAGACAAAATCAACATTTTAAAGCATCAACAGTTTGCTGCATTAATACTCTAGTTGACTGCAAGATGTAGAGAACTACTGATTGGGTTTGGGTTTGGTTCTCTGATCATGATCCAAACTGCACTGCCACACAGGAAATCCAGGACTCTAATAACAATCCTTGTGATGTTAATGTGAGTTTTGTGCATTTTCAAAGTATTACCTGTCAGGCCTCATGCCTGGGAGTGACATTTATAACCTTTGTGAACAAAGAGATAAGTTGGTCATTGTGGTATTTCTAAATCAGGAAGCAGGGTAGTTACTGGTGGTGCAGAAAGTATGACATGCTTACCCTGACCTCTAAGTGACAGTACAGTACAAGTAGTGACCAAAATGTTAGGACTTCTGGAAAATGGTAGTAAAGGGCGACTTACATCATTCAGTAAATAATCATGCTTAGAGAAAAGAGGAAAAAATAAGATACAGTTTGAATTTTGAAAGAGAGAGATCTAACAAATGTAATGAACATTAGGCAGAGAGTTCTATGGGACCCCGAGTTTTATCTGACCTATTTAATCACCCACTGGGATATGACTTCTCCTCTTCACATCTCTAGGAGTTATTACAGTTGTAATGTGTCATCTGAGCGGAATAAATGGTCAATGAGTCGGTATAGTGATTAATACTCCAGAAGAAATTTTATGTGTAATAATTTTATACATTTCTATTAAAATTACAGTAAACTTTTTGCAATATAAATGTGAGAGATACAGAAAAAAACGAGTATGCCGGATTTAGGTTAAATATCTGTTTAAGACCATCAAAAGGCAGTTTTTTCTGTTTACTTCTCTTCCTTTGACTTCTATTTCCTGATTTGTGTTTACTTCTCTTCCTTTGACTTCCATTTCCTGATTTGATTTCAGCTGTCATTTACCTTACTATTTAAGAAACCAAAGTAGGTTTTCTGATTTCCTTGGGTATCAGTCTGAATCCCAGCAAAATAAAACCAGCGGATAACCAGCTATATACTTTTTTAGAAAACATCGTTATTTACATAAGCGCTTCCACTTCTAGAAAGAGACCACCAGCTTCACTGGTGCAGAATAAAACAGTTACTTAAAGTAAAACAAAAATTGAATCAAGGCACAGAGAATACTGATAGCAAACAGGATATTTCTATCACTTACTATGGGAATGAACTGCCAGTAACTGAACCACAAGGACCACAACACATGCAGTAAATTTCCAGGATGTAAAAGTAGTCAGTTCAAGTACATGAGTCAAGAGTAGCATCATGATTAAGAACTGTGGCCTTGGTGCCATTCTGCCAGGGTTCGAATCTTGTCTCTATCACTTACTAGCAATGTTGATAGTAAATAAATTACTGTTCTCCTCATCTGTAAAGCAGGGCTAATAATAATAATACCCACCTCACAGGGTTATCATGAGAGGATTAAATCACATAATCCATGTAAAATTATTTGAAACGCATGATCACATAAAAGGCACTCAAAAAGCAAGTGCCATTAATAACCTTACTACTATTTTCTGGAGTGAAGATCACATTGCCAAGGATCAAGCAATAGATCAAGATCCACAGACGAACACTAACAAAATAAAGATGGACCTCCTGGTGGGATAAACTGAGATGACCAAAGGATTCTCCTTATTCTCATCATAACTACACAGTTCCATGTATCACATAAAAATAACAAACTTGCACAAATTTTTAATAAATAAAGGCTGATTTAGTTAATTTGGGTTTCAGAGTAACATTGTATCTCTTTGAGAAAAAAGCTGGCTGATAGAGAATAGTGTATTGGTGGCAAGATAAACTTTTTGTATGTTTTCCATAAACAAGTAAAATAAAACAAATATATCATATACCTTGACAAAAGATCATGATCATAAATGGTTATTACATGTTCCTTAAAGTATAAATCCTAAAATGCAAACAAGTGCTGACAAAATTGTCTCTCTCTAGGCTTTATAATTTGTCTTTTCAAGCATATATTCCCAAGAACAGGACGAATTTCTCTTAAAAAGTACAACAGAATCTAGCATGGTGCCTTATACTTAGGAAGCCTTCAATAAGCATTTATGATGCAGTTTTGAAATCAGGCAGAAATAAGCTGAAAGTACAGCTTCTACCCATACTAGCTGGGTGATGCTGAACAAATTGCTTACCCTCTTTTCGATCTTAATCCTTTTATTTGAACCATGAGCCCAAAAATACATAAACCACAAGAGTTTTGTGAAAATCAAATAAGGAAGCAATATGCAAAATATCTATCTGTACACTGTCTAGCACACAGCACTCATGTCATCTGCAAATGGAGATCGTTCTAGTTTTTCCTTTCCGATCTGGATACCTTTTTTTTTTTTTTGCCTAATTGCCCTGGTTATAACCTTCAGTGCAAAGTTGATAAGAGTGACAAGAATAAACTAACTCAAAAATAAATTTATCCAAGGATGTACAAGACCTGAACGATGAAAACTACAACATAGTGTAGAAAGAAATTTTTAAAGGTCTAAATAAATGGAAACATTTCCTGTGTCCCTGGATTGGAGGGGTTAAAATTGTTAAGACAGCAATACTTCCCAAACTGGCCTACAGATCCAATGCAAACCTGTAAAATTCCAGCTGCCTTTTTTTGCAGAAATGAACAAGCTGACTTTAGAATTCATATAGAAATGCAAGGAACCCCAAATAGTGAAAACAATCTTATAAAAGGAAAATTAAGTTGGAGGACTCACACTTCTTGCTTACAAACTTAATGCAGAGCTACAGTAATAAAGACAGTGTAGCACAGATGTAAGGATACACATACAGGTCAGTGGAATAAAATTCAGAGTCCAAATAAACTGATACATCTATAGTCAAATGATTTTCAACAAGGGTGCCACAATCATTCAATGGAGAAAGAAGGTCTTTTCAACAAACAGTGCCGAGGCAATTGGATAGCTACATAACAAAAGAATTAATTTAGAACCCAACCTCACACCATATGCAAAAATTAACTCAAAAAGGATCAATGACTTAATTCTAAGACAGAAAATATAAAACACATAAAAGGAAATATAGGTGTAAATCTTTGTGACCTTGGATTAGGCAACAGTTCAATTGATAAATATGGACTCCATTAAAATTAAAAACTTTTGTATGTCACAGGACGCTATCAAGAATGTGAAAAGAAAACCCACAAAATAGGAGAGAATATCTGCAAATCACACATCTAATAAAAATCCAGTATTCAGGATATATATAAAGAACTTTAATAACTCAACAACAACAAAAAAGAAATAATCCAATTAAAAATGGGCAACAAATATAAAGAGATGTTTCTCCAAAGAAGATGCACAAGTGGCCAATAAGCACATGAAAAAATGCTCAAAATCACTAATCATTAGGGAAGTGCAAATCTGAGCCACCATGAAATACCACTTCACACACACTCAGATGGCTATAACTGGGGTGGAAAAAAAGGAGAATCACAAGTGTTGGAGAAGATGGAACTGGAACCATCATACACTGCTGGTGGGAATATAAAACGGTACAGCCACTGTCAAAAATAGTTTGGTAGTTTCTCAAACACTTAGAGTTAACATATGTCCCAGCAATTCCATTAAATGATGAATGGATAAACACATGTCGTATATCCATGAATGTAATATTATTACACCAAAAAAAGGGAATACACTATTGATACACGCTATTGGATGAACCTTGAAAATATTATATTGAGAAGCCAAAAACAAAAGGCCACATAATGTATGATTCCATTTATATGAAATGTCCAGAATAAGCAAATTCATAGAAACAAAAAATAAATTAATGGCTGCCAGGGGATGAGGGAAGGAGAAGACTGGAATGACTGCTAACAGTTACAGATTTCTTTTTTGAATAATGGAAATGTTCTGGAATTAGACAGTGGTGATGGTTGTACAACACTGTGAACACACTAAAAACTATTGAATTGTATACATTAAAATAGTGAATCGCACATTATATGAACTTTATCTCAATTTTAAAATTGCAGAAAAACTTGAAACTCGATCATTCCTCCCAAATTGCACATCTAAAAAAATGGAAAAATTTATTTTTTGTGGCAACACATACACATTGGTTCTTACTTCTATACTCCCTCAATAATGCCCCAAATGTTTCAGTGAGCTGGCATTTTTTTGAAATCTTTAAAATTCTGATTCTTTGTATATCTCTTCTAACTTCTACCCTTTCTTCTCTAGAATAAGCATCTTAAATTGTGTGGTTTTGAAGAAACACTGCTCACAAGCTTGCATATATACATCTGTAGCTATGTGAATCTCTATATTCACCTACATCTACATCTATTGATATTGATATATATGTAGATGGATACACAGATATAAATAGAGGGAAAGAAAGAGAGACGACAGATAGGCACATATAGGAAATTCACTAAGAAATATTTTCCTAATATGAAACGACCTGCTCTTCTTTCATAGACTTCTTTAGAAATAGTGATTCTTTTGTCAAAATTACACCACCATGTGTATTAAATAATTTGCTCAGTAGAGAGCATTTACCGTAAATCAAGTTATTTACTTATTTATTTTTATATCTTAACCCTTTTATATTCTATATCAACACTGATATTCTACCAGTGAGAACTTACCCTAAGCATGGGGCCATTTTGAAAGACATGTGGCTCATCACAAACCACACAGTATTCATTCAATACAGGGATCCGCTGTTCAGCAAACTCAATTGTCTGAATAAAACAACAAAGATAAATAATTAAGTCAAGTTCATAAATAATTTGAAAACCCATTAAAAGCTAAAATATTTCTGCAACAGATGACGTGGCTCATACCTGCACTAGGAAGCCGCGGTCTCGTATTGGAATGCATTTGGCACCATTTGGCTATAAAAGGCAAAGTAAAAGAAGAAAACAATTTTTTAACTCAGAGAATATATGAATTACAGCCTTTGACTTTTTGCAACAGTGAATACAAGTGTGATCTAAGGTCAACTGTAATATGAATTAAATCACTGATTATGACATCAAGATTTTAGAATTTCTTTATAACATACTTTCTGCCATTACTACCACAAGCCTTGTCTAAGCTAAACCAATAGTATTCTTAATTATTTGGTCTTCTAGTAAAAATGACTGGCATTTTTAAATGATCACAAAAGCTCATTTTCTCTACTACTTTTTGTCAAATGCTCCCACCTCCTCATTTAGACTATTTCCATCTTATTTTACAATGAGAATTATTCCTCCAAGGATATATGAGACAGCTACTGAGGGGGTACAACACTAAACTATTGTACTGTAGTAGGCTTAACCATACAGGAAGATTGTAAGACATTTTCTTTTACAGAATATGTGAAATTATCTTTCTTAGGTGAAACTGTCACGGAAAACGTTCTATGTTAACATTTTGACATTATTTTCTGTGTGTCCTTACTGCTTACTTTTGATAAGAAATGGGCTTTTAGGGATGTCCATCTAAAATTATCAACATACTTAAATACATTTTCTTAACACAAATATAATTTTATGGTATAATTTACAATATAATTTTAGAAATAAAGCTATACAAGAGCAGCACAACTTTCTGATAATGTATCTTATTTTTTTCAATTTCATCTATTACTAGGTGTATCCATATATATGGCTAAGAATTAAGTATACCCTTACCCCAGCGCACACACGCATTTACTAAAAGTAAACAACATTTTTATCAACTATTTTACGTATTTAATATACATAAGATAGGTCTGTTTCTTTATCTGAAATCAGCTATAATGCTGATCACTCCAAAGGTAAACTCCGTGTAAGACTGACTCCCAATAAATACCACGCAGAGGACTTAAGTTTGAATACAGTTACCTTCTGGCCCTATCTCCACCAAAAAACTTCAGGATAAAGTGATTTCAGTTTTAGAAAGTAGACACTGAAAGCAGCTTTAAGTGAAGCTTAAAGTAGCAGAAGTAGATGTTGCTTCTCTCCACAAGTTAACGATGTTCACAGGCAAATGTTCTTATATGTATATATAAAAGGAAGGACATTACTCTGAATTTAATTATTAGACAAACTTTGTCCTCCACTACTTATGTATGAGAACTAGAGAACAGATAAACCTACTTGATAAAACATTAAAATGCCCTGCTTGCTTAAAAGGATCGGATTTGTGGATCCAACTGATTTCCTTCCATTTTTAGCAGCTTTCATGACCACAACAGGAATTTGGACTAGACCTTCAATCAATAGCTATATTTATTTTTTCAGAATCAAAATGAACATTCCAGTACTGGTTGCCAATGTCTGGTATGCTATAGTAATATCCAAAAAGAAACAAAGGGTAAATTCTAAAAAACAAAAACGAAAACGAAGATCTTGCTTCTTTCCTCTACCAGGTCTTACAAAAACCTCTCCTGCACCTTGGCTAACATTTAGGAACTCAGGATGAAAGTATTTACGCACAGCAGGCTGGGAAGATGACGATGAAGACGGTGTTAAGATACCGATAAGCCCTGAGGTCAGAGAGAGCCTCCTGCCCTCTGCGTTAGGTTCCTTGAAGAGCTCCGTCTTGGATGACTTGGGAGCACTGGAGTAAGACTTGCTGAGCAGCTTGTGGTTTTTCAGTCCATACAGCTCTTCCATTCTGAGATTACTGGAGTAAGATCTGCTTAACAGTTTGTGAGGCTTCAGGTTGGTGTTGTGCTCGCATCGCGGGTCTCCAGAACAGGACCGAGTCAACAGTTTGTGCGACTTCAGAGTGAGGCAGTCCTCTTGCTTGACAGCTGCCGGGCAGGGCCGGTTCAAAAGTTTGTGCGACTTAATGGCCGCCACCGCCTGCTCAGCCCTGGGGTCGCTGGACAGGGAGCGACCAAAGGTCCTGTGCGACTTGGTGGCGCACACGTCGTCGGTCTTGACCGTACTGGAACAAGTCCTCCGCAGCAGCTTATGCGTTTTGGAAATTCCATCTTGCTCAGATTTCAGTTTGGATTTGCTTTTACCACAACCAGGGGGAGGATAACTTGGCGACCTTGAAAACGGAACAACAATTAATACAGGGCAAATCATGAGTATGACACACCACGGAGAACACCTGGTAGGCGCAATCAACTCAACTCGACCACAAATACCACCTCGTTTTAATACAGCCCATCCAGCTCAGATAGCAACCGCAATATGGGCACAGTGATCACATGGACTGAACTGAATTATATTTTTCCTGCAAAGCAAAAACAGATTATCAGGTTTTGCACCCCTCCTGTCCCAGAACTCTTTGCAGAACTAATTTTGGTACAGAAAAATCTATGTGATTAGAAAACACAGAATGTCATTTTAACACATTTAACGCATGTTAAGAAAACGAACACTCTGAATGCAGAAATGGGTATCTATGCTTTTGATGGAATCGATAGAACTTGGTCCGTTCTTTGAAGTCACACAGAAAATAAATGAATGCCAAGACTACAGAAAGAATGCTCTGAAGTACCTAACTATGGAGCAGCACATGCTCAGAACTGAAGACAACAGAGAAGTCATCTGCTACCCACCTGCGCAAGGTAGAAAATAAATGCAGGGGAGATTTCACCTTCTTCTCTGACAGCTTCTTATTGTGCAGGCAACTGGATTTCTCTTTGCTCTGTTTCCACTGCTGTGTAACGAATGTCTGCATGATCCTGTCAATCCAAAGTAAGTCTGTCATCACAGCTCCAAGATGATATGAGATTTCCGTTATTATGTAGAGAATGTATTTATCAAAGGAAAATAAATGCATAGTAATTGGTGAGATTATAATTTAAAATCACACGAGATGTTTCCATGTGTAGGAAAGCACCATGTAGAAAATTTCTATGACTTTATTGCACTTTGGTTAATAACTCATTAATTACTATGATATGATTAATAGCATAAATGACAAAAGAAGTGATAAAATAGGGGCGCTTGGGTGGCTCAGGTGGTTAAGCGTCTGCCTTCAGCTCAGGTCATGATCCCAGGGTCCTGGGATGGAGTCCCACATCGGGCTCCCAGCTCAGTGGGGAGTCTGCTTCTCCCTCTCTCTGTCCTCCCCTTCCCCTCACCACTTGTGCTCATGCTCTCTTGCTCTCTCTCTCTCTCTCAAATAAATAAATACCTTAAAAAAAAAAAAGAATCGATAAATAATAGGCTATAAAGATATTTAGAAGGGCAGCCTTTAAACAACTTTAGCCGAAGTTCTTTAGCCAAAAGGAAGTTCTGAATTATTTTGCTGGTGACAGAAACACATTTTGGAAATAATGTTTGATATTAACTATGATTTTATCACTTAAGATACAAGTAAAGTCAATTTCTTTTTACTTGATTTGCTTATGCAGTTTTCTTCATGAAAAGGAAAATAAAATGAAACTGTGAAATCGTTAAGTAAAAAGGAACCATGTAAAACTGACTCTATGGAGAAATATGAAATCAGCAAATTTTCTCTCTCTGCACAGCCCATTCACTTTTTTTTTTTTTTAGATTTTATTTATTTATTGGACAGAGAGAGAGATAGCGAGGGCAGGAACACAAGCAGGGGGAGGAGTGGGAGAGGGAGAAGCAGGCTTCCCGCTGAGTAGGGAGCCCTATGCGGGGCTCAATCCCAGGACTCTGGGATCATGACCTGAGCTGAAGGCAGACGCTTAACAACTGAGCCACCCAGGTGCCCCTAGCCCATTCACTTTTAAATACACTGGTTTTTTAAACAAAACTGTGTGTCTTGGGGTGCCTGGGTGGCTCAGTCAGTTAAGTGACCAACTCGTAGTTTCAGCTCAGGTCATGAATTCAGGGTCATAAGATCGAGCCCGGCGTGGGAGAACAGAGTCGGCTTGAGGTTCTCTCTCTCCCTCTCCCTCTGCCTCTCGAGACCCTGCCGACACATGCACGTGCAAACTCTCTCTAAAATAATAAATAAATCTTAAAAAAATATATAAAATATAAAAAAACTGTGTGTCTCTAAAAGCTTTTAGTTACTATCATAAAACAGGAATTTGGCAACTCCTGATCTCAGTATTTTCTAAGTCAAGACCACGGCTCATCACTGCTTCATGGCAAAGAATCCTGGAACATCAGCTGTGGACTTGGACACAGTATTGTTTTCTGAGAAGGGTCCCTGACTGTGACAACTTCTCAGATCCCACCTTTCAAGTGGCAATGGCAGAGGGTCTGTTAAGGCTGAGACTCAAGTAGATGTGAAATTTTACAGTTAAACTTTATGTATACAATAAATTAAAATATTCTGATTTTCTTTCAAAAGTCAATTCAGCATTGCCTGCTTTTCGTGTTCTTCTCAGTTATTTCTAACACAGATTGCTTTTGGAGCAAAAAAAAAAAAAAAAAAACACCCCACAAAACACAAAACACTGGTACCAATATTTACCATTTATAATATACCAAAGAGTAATTTATATAACAGATCTTTTTTTCTTTTAACTCTCAACACCCCCAGAGAATAGTAACTATTACTCTACACATTTCACAAATAAGGCTAAGTAAGGTTAAAGACTGAAATCATCCCAATTTAGCCTGGTAATAAATGGCAAAACTGCAACACCTATGCTATCCAATATGGAATGACCTATGTTAACATATGCTACTCCAACAGGTGTGACTCTTAGCACTGAGACCATTATTAATTTCTCAAGATCCTCAGTTTCTATCAAATTAACATCGATCACCACAAAGTACAACCTCAGACTTACCACCCCTGGCCTTTAGTCAGCAAGCTTAGTTGAGTTCAGAAGAAACAGTCATTTATGGAATATTTTGGGGCCTTTTTAGCTACAGAGGTAGTGAGGAAGAAGGGGATAAAACTGCAGTCTATGATGCAGGATTCCAAATTTGCAGTAAATTCACCTTAAAACTCAGGCCAATGGAAATTTTTTTTTTATTTAACATTTTATTTTTGAAGATTTTTTTTTTTCACCCAAGATTTCAGCATGACTTAAATGGAACAGTAATATTAGGGTTTTCATTTGTCCCTATACCTAACCTGCAATCCCAAGCGACACCACCCTTTGTACCAAGCAGATTCAGATTCTTTTCCTCCTATAAAAAATTGCTATTCCTGGAGCGCCTGGGTGGCTCGGTTGTTGAGCGTCTGCCTTCGGCTCGGGTCATGATCCCAGGGTCCCGGGATGGAGCCCCGCATTGGGCTCCCTGCTTGGCGGGAAGCCTGCTTCTCCCTCTCCCACTCCCCCTGCTTGTGTTCCCTCTCTCGCTGCGTTTCTCTCTGTCAAATAGATAAATAAAATTAAAAAAAAAAAAATTGCCATTCCTATGCACCATTCCCTAAGAAACCTAACAAATGCTTTTCTAATTCTTGATAGACTAATTGAAAAACAACAAAAAAACAAGTCAATAGCTAAAGTTGTTCCAACTTTCATACTACATTAGCATTCCAAAGTGTGACCTCAGCATCTGAAACCAGTAATTCTTAAACTTGGGCACCCACACCCCTAGATGTTCTTGGATTCAAAAGGTGGGAGTTAACTGTCCTGTAAGAAAGTTAAGGTTGTGTTTAATGTCGACCGTAATGTGAAATATACAGATGAGCACATGTGGTGTAACGAACACCTCTTGATAATGGAGAGCCACCAAGAGATTTTAGTGCTCACACCGGTGTTTGTGTTTTACTATTATGCTGGTACAACTGCCATTAGTTGAAAAAAGACTTCAAAGGTCTATTACACAACGCAGCTGCATCAACAAAGGTCCCAAGGTAGTTCAAACAGAGAAAAGGGAGTATATGTGGGCAACGCTATGATTTTCCTCATGCTGATTTCAAAAGGAATATGCACTCAAGGAGCCAGCACTATATTTAACCTGCGGTGGTCTAACAGCTTCAGCAAAACAGCATCATGCATCAAATCAAATTAATGTACTAATTTTACAATTAAAATTTGAGTGTTTCATACTGCAGTTATAAATTGAATTTTGTTTTATAAATGCAAACTCAACAGATGAAGCATTTATATCTAATTTTATGTTTGTATGTATTTAAGGCAAAACTGGAGATTTACGAGGCTTTTTTTCCTTTTAAAAACAACTTAAGGTTGATCAATGCAAATTCAGCATCAAGTCATATATAGTTTAAGAGTATTTCCATGGGGGCGCCTGGGTGGCTCAGTTGGTTAAGCGACTGCCTTCGGCTCAGGTCATGATCCTGGAGTCCCGGGATCGAGTCCCGCATCGGGCTCCCTGCTCGGCAGGGGGTCTGCTTCTCCCTCTGACCCTCCTCCCTCTCATGCTCTCTGTCTCCCATTGTCTCTCTCGCAAATAAATAAAATCTTAAAAAAAAAAAATTTAAAAAAAAAAGTATTTCCATGGTCTGTGCCATGTTTAGCTTTGGAATGATAGATACTCTATATGAGGCTGATCACTACACTGTTGACCCACTACTGTTTTGGGTCAGTATTTATTTTTTCTTTCAGGCTCTTTTAATGCCTTCATGTTCTCCCAATATTCATTCAGTGTCAAAAACATATCCCAAGTCTTACATAAAACAAAAGGATACCTACAATTATATGAGAAGCAGATTGGTGGATGGGTCAAAAGTATTGATCTGGGGTCAGATTCTGGCTCTATTACTTCCTCACTGTGACCTTAGCACCTTGCCTAATCTCTCTGGGTCTCGGTTTCATCATCCAGGAAATGTGGATAGTAATGGTACATGCTGGATAGCATTGTGGCCAAGATCAAGTGAGCTAATGTAGGTAAAGCACTTAGAACAGTGCTTCACATACAATAAGCACTGCGTATGCATTTGCGCCTGCAATCGTTATTAAGCCCGTCTAGTTGCCAGGAACACACCAGATAAAGATTATTAAGCCCGTCTAGCTGCCAGGAACACACCAGATAAAGAATCACAGACAAAGTTTAATGAGTGTTTATTTGCTGAAAACAAACCAGAGCAATAATAACAAAAGGCCTAGATTTTCAGTCTGCCTTCCTAACTTACTATCTGTTTCTGGAAAATAACCTCTTTATATTTCAGTTTCCTCTTATGACTTATTGTGAGGATGAGATCAGATTTTTGGAAATCATGTTATTTTAGACTAGAGAGGATCACATGCAAACCCAGTTATTTATAATTAAGGAAAAGTAAATTAGATTAAAAATTAATAGGAATTGTTACGAAAAAGTTCTAGCCCATATACTAAACTGTCCACAGAACTAAAATTTATCCATAGAAGTAATTAACCTTTTTAAAATGTTAAGCATTTAGATGGAAATATTAATAAAATGTGACATATTCTACAAAGTGATTAAATAATGACTACAGAACACAGCTTTCCTTAATTTCTCAGAGTTGGAATTATACACATCATTTCTTTTTCTGAGCCCAAACAATGTAACTCAGACATCTTTAATTAAAAGGCAGAAAGTCATATATTCCAAGATGTCTCTGTTTTTATAATTCTTCCCTCCTTTGGATCAACTTCACTTCACTTTTTTAAAAACGGGTTAAGTGGCTAACAAAAGTACCTAAAGTAAAAACTATGGGCTTTGGATGATAGGTGTCAATGTACATTCATCAATTCTAACAAATGTACCATTCTGGTAGGAGATGTTGATAACAGGAAGCCTACGCATATGTGGGGACAGGAAGTATATGGAAAATCTCTGTATCTTGTTCTGTTTTGCTGTGAACCTTAAACTGCTCTTAAAAAAATCAAGTTATTAAATTAGAAAAAAAATTTAAAAACAAGGAAAATTGTGTGAGGGGAGAAAACATCACAGGAGGGGGAAAAAAATAAAAGATGTGCCAAGGTATGGTGGTAATCAACTTGGATGGCATAACATAGAGGCAGGCTCCATGCTTAGCTCCAAGACCTGTAAGACATTAGCTCAACACAGAAAACAAAATCCAATTAAACTAGAGGGTATTACGCTGAGTGAAATAAGTCAATCAGAGAAAGACATGTATCATATGACCTCATTGATATGAGGAATTCTTAATCTCAGGAAACAAACTGAGGGTTGGTGGAGTGGTGGGGGGTGGGTGGGATGGGGTGGCTGGGTGATGGACATTAGGGAGGGTATGTGCTATGGTGAGCGCTGTGAATTATGTAAGACTGATGAATCATAGACCTGTACCTCTGAAACAAATAATACATTATATGTTAAAAAAAAAAAAGAAGAAGATAGTAGGAAGGGAAAAATGAAGGGGTGGAATCGGAGGGGGAGACGAACCATTAGAGACTATGGACTCTGAGAAACAAACTGAGGGTTCTAGATTGGAGGGGGGTGGGGGAATGGGTTAACCTGGTGATGGGTATTAAGGAGGGCATGTATTGAATGGAGCACTGGGTGTTATATGCAAACAATGAATTATGGAACACTACATCAAAAACTAATGATGTAATGTACGGTGATTAACATAACATAAAAAAAAAAAAAAAAAAAAAAAACATCGGCACCTGGGTGGCTCAGTCAGTTAAGCATCTGCTTTTGGCTCAGGTCATGATCCCTGGGTCCCAGGATTAAGCCCCAGGTTGGGCTCCTGCCTCAGCGGGGAGTCTGCTTCTCTCTCTGCCCCTCACTCTGCTCAGGCTCTCTCTCTCTCCCTCTCTCTCTCAAATAAATAAATAAAATATTTAAAAAACAAAACAACACACACACAAAAAAACCAATTCCAATGGAAAAGCACACCTAATCCTAGTACAGAAAAATGAGAAAATTGCTCCTTTAAGTGCTTATAAGGAAACCACACTGCATTATATAATGTGCTAAACATATGTTGTAAATTGAATTTAGTTTTAGAGATGTGCAATTTGAAACATTAAGGGTTTATTATCTAATTTTTATATGTTCACATTTAAACGCAACATTGGGAATTTGCAAGAATACTCCCTTTATCTTAATTTCCTTTCAAATGTGATCCACACATAACTCATATCTGAGCAATGTCAAGTCATAAAAACTTTAAGACAATTCTAGAGCTCCATAATATGTACAACCCTTGATAACACACACACAAGCTTCCTCTTACATCCACAATCTCAAGTAAAATGACCACAATAAATCTCTATTTAGTAAATGAAATAAAAAGTTTCAAAGTACTTTCTCTTAGAACATTGCTCAATAAAGGCTGATGTCTGATGCCCAATTAAAATTCATTAAAATACAGGTGAACACATGAACTGAATCATCGTTGAGGATGCAAACCACGTGTTTAAATATATAATAATCTAATGGTAAATTTAAGTTGAAGTAAAATTTGCATATTCAGAAGAATAAATAATCCTTCGGAAATTCTCCAGTAATACAAATTCTTTTTTTTTTTAAGATTTTATTTATTTATTTGTGAGACAGAGAGAGCAAGCACAAGTGGGGGGGGGGCAGAGGCAGAGGGAGAAGCAGGCTCCCCACTGAGCAGGGAGCTTTATGCGGAACTCAATCCCAGGACCCCGGTATCACGACCTGAGCCGAAGGCAGATGCTTAACCGACTGAGCCACCCAGGCGTCCCAGTAATACAAATTCTTATAGCTGATATATAGCATAGGATTTATTAAATTTATATTTTGACTATATGCTATCATGTTTTAAAAGTCATTTTGACTGGGATAATTTTATGTTCATAAAATATAAATTCATTCATTGCATTAGTCAAGGTCCGAAGAGGAAATAAAGGGTTTATTTAAAAAAGGAATGATCAGGGGCGCCTGGGTGGCTCAGATGGTTAAGCATCTGCCTTCGGCTTAGGTCATGATCCTAGGGTCCTGGGATCGAGCCCCGCATCGGGCTCCCTGCTCGGCAGGAAGCCTGCTTCTCCCTCCTCCACTCCCCCTGCTTGTGTTCCCTCTCTCGCTGTGCCTCTCTCTGTCATATAAAAAAAAAAAAAAGAATGATCATTTCAAGAGTGTAAGTATAGGAGCCAAGCACAAGGCAGTGGCTGCCAACTGTTACCACCTCTAGGCCCCAAGGAACAGGCAGAGGGAACGTGTAACGGAACCCAGTAAGAGAGTCATGGATAGGCTGTGGCCTAGAGCAGAGAAGAAAGCTTCACTTGAAGGGCTAGTCAACTCAAGGTAACCTCTTAGAGTGGAAACCAAAGGCAATAAATACTCCTTTTTTATACTGCTTCCTCCTCTGTTGGTCACATTCGAGACACAGCAACACATGAGAACCTGCACCCACACAGATCAACCTCCACAGGTGAGGGCAGGTGTTGGAGGGAGGAGAGTGGACCCGGGCGGGCAAACAGAAGGACTGTGGCTGCTTCGAGAGGTGAGCTCTGCCAGCTAAATTATTGATGCAGCTCTTGGCATCGGATGAGTTCCTCTCCTGAGGTGCTCACTTCAAAGAGCTCTTATTTAATAAGAAGAGGGGGAGGGGAGTGAGCAAAATGAGAACTCAGCTCTCTTTCAAAGAAATTTATTTTTTTATTCTTGGGAAACTTACTTTTTCAGCTGATGTCCCAATCCAAATCGCTCTTTTGTAGAAATCTGAAAGACATCAACAGTGGGCACTGCAAAGGAAAAAATAATCAGTCAATACGTTGAGCTGAAACTTAACCAACAGCCAGGAAAAAGACTGAAAAGTAATATATATGATACACTCTAATATGTACACAGACATAAATATATTATACATTTACATATTATATAGTATGTAAGAAATATTTATACACACATACATATTTAAAAATAGCATATACACAGTCTTATACATTGCTATTTATGGTTTATATATAGAGATTTTGGAGATCATTCTTGGTCATTAGAAAACAAGGGTAGAAGTAGGAAAAATCACTCAGGAACTTATTAAAGTAATTGGCAAGAGATACTGTGTTCTGGATCAGTGGAGGTGGTGAACTGTCTTTGTTAACAGGACGTTCTCAGATCACACGTGCTCCACATTGGAACCAAACTGGTATCCCCAATTTCCTCACCCCCCGTGTTGGCAGTTACTCTGGGACACAAACACTCCACTGATCAAAGAAAACTGTTGTTAGTATCATCAATCAGTTCCTTTTCCAAAAGCATGCTAATCCTTAGATACAGACTGAGGAACAGAGTGGACATCACTCGAATCCCTCCTATCCCAAACCCAGGGCTACAGAAATTCAAAAATGAATAAGAAAAATCCTAACATCTTGAAAACTCAGCAGAATTTTTTTTTTTTTTTAAGAAAAGATGACAAAATTGGAACATGCTATGCTCTCTCTTAAAAGATTTAAGAAGACACAATCTATTCCCAGGTAGGTGGGAAAAGTGACTGGGGAGATGGAGGCAGAGAAACAAAAGGGACCTGGTTTTTGAAAAATCCAAAATGCACTAGAAGAACTGAAATTGTCACCGGAAGAAATTATATAAGATACACAGAGAGAAAGAGAGAGAGAAAAGAGAGATAAGAGACACAAATGTTTACCCAGAATATATAAATTATTCCTACAAATTAATGATACAAAGACCAAAACTTATTCATACTATGAATGACTAGAAAATAAACATCAATATTTTACCAAAATGATAAATCTTCTAGAGAAATGTAAGTTACAAACACTGACTCAACTAGTAGTATAAAATCTGGATGACCCAAATTTTAGAATATACTGAAAGAGCTAACAAGATGTTACTTTCAAAACTGTTCCAAGATTCAAGTGATAAAACTTATACTACTATTAAATTAATGAAATTAATTATTACTATTAGTTGCCTTGAGTGTATTCAGATGTTAATAACCAGTGAAACTGGATGCAGAGTATATGGGGACACTGTACTACCTTTACAATTTTTCCGTAAATCTAAAAATGTTTTAGATTAATTTTTATAATTTTTTTTTGAGAGAGAGATAGAGAGAGACAGCAGGAAGGAGGGGTAGAGGGAGAGAGAGAGAGAGAGAATCTTAAGCAGACTCCACACTCAGCACAGAGCTCGATGCATGGCCCAATCTCACAACCCTGAGATCATGACCTGAGCCAAAATCAAGAGTTGGACACTTAACCAACGAAGAAACCAGGCACCTCAATTTTTATAAAAATTTTTAAAAGTAATAGTTTTCTGATAACTAAGAATCAGTTAGAAAATAAACTGGAATATAAAAGTCCCAGTAAGCAAACAAGTACTCATGAATAAATTTAGCTAAAATTACTGACCTCAGGCAGAAAAAAAACCAAAAAACACAGAATGGTACTGATACATAAAATTAAAAACAATGAACAAATCTTCCTTTAAAGGAATAAAGGAAAAGTGAATATAAAAATGTCTATTCTTCCTAAATTTATTTAAAAGTTACCTTAAAATAACCAAATAATTCCCCACGAGGGTTCATTTTTAGGGACAACAGACTGAGGAAGAACTTGACAGAATGCACTAGAGAAATATTTTTATGTTTTAAAAAAGATGAAAGTTATTCGATTTTTCCTTGTCTTTCATATAACGTAGGTTGGGAAGGCAGTAAGTGAGGGCTGCTTAAGATACGTGGAAATGATTCTAACACTGATCATGTACATGTGCAGGTGCCAATAATGAGATGATTTGCACAGAAAAACATTTTTAATAATGTTAGTTGTTTATCACATTAAACTAAAAGCAGCCTTGCCTTTCAGATCAGAAACTAGACTTATACACCAGCAATGCTGAAAAAAATACATAATAAGAATAATCATGTCTTTTTATTTAAAATATATTTCCTCATATACATTGAAAATAATCTTTAATATTAAAGTGGATAAGGAGGTATATTTCTTTAATTCTTATCATTCTTGTTCACCTACAGATAATTTGTCAGATTAGCCCTGATTAAATATTACAGCTCAAATAAGTATTACTCATACATTTCCAAAACTTAGCAATGAATGCTTTCAAAAAGAACTGCTAACTAGGTCAGTCTAAACCTTGGATTAGTCACAAAACTTGTTTGAGGTAAATTAAGACCAAAGGGTACCAATTGAAAAATAAATACGTAAAAGATAATATTAAGGAAAAAGAGGGAAAAAATAGCCCAATAAGTACACATAACAAAACACAAGCAACGCCAAAATAGATGTCTTGCAAATGAACAAAATTAAAACACTTCAGACACAAACTAGCAGAAGTCTCTCAAGTATTTTTACCTTTTTTGGGGGGGGGGGGCGGGGGACTATTATAACCCCATAAACTTATAGTTGGTCAAGTGTGTCTCATTCACAAAATGAGAGAGTCATTCTCCAGTATGAAAAAAACAAGCATAATCCTCATGTTTCTTTGGTTTACAAACTATTAGGTAGCAAATCAACTAATAGAAATGAAAACAGAAGGACTAAATTATGGATGAGCTGTAATACCGAAGAAGGGGTACTGAACAATACAATCATCTAAACGTGAATTAGAATATAATTGTTAGAACATTTACAAAACCATGGAAATATAACAAATCTTTAAAGAGACGTTGAAAAGGATAATCTCTGCCTAAAATTCAAGATTATATTTAAAAAGTGAGTAACAGTGGTAAGATTACATAAAAGCATGCCACATTCTCATCTCACACAGATGGAGTAGTGTGAGTAGAGATGAACTGACCCAATTTTGTTCCTAACCCTGATAATTAAAAAAAAAAAAAAAGTTCAGACAGAAGAGCTGCTTTTTCTTTTAACCACCAACAGAATAAAATCGAATGGTCACATATCAAATCCCTAAAGAAAGAAAAAAACTTAACCATACAACAAAGTATCTGGGGAAACAGCAAAAACACATACACTTATACCTGGAATACTGTGCAGATATTACAAATTATTCCATTTTAGAATATTTAATGACTTGAGGACAGTCTCGTGACATAACATTAAGGTGTATAACTATACAGTTCAATGTCAACTTTATGAAAAGGAGCCATGTGTGCAGAGAAAAGAGAAACACCAAACTATTCACAGGTTTCTCACTATAGAGGGATTATGAGTAATTCTTTTTCTTCTTTCTTACATTTCTACACATTTGAAATAATCACAATAAAAATATGTAACATCGAGTTGTCTTTGCCTGGCATTAAATCATATGTTGTTTATATTAAGAGCTGATTATTTAAGTAGAAATCATTATACAAAAACAGAAAAGAGGTGACTCAACAGAAACTTTTTCAAAATGAAAGATTTTCCTATGTATTTCATAAACTTGGAATGGGTCAGGGATCTTTCTTGGGTAAAAGCTAATAGTAGATGTTAAGTTCCTTAATATGCCTAAAGAAAAACGCGCCAACATCACAGTAAAGGATGTGTGAAGACGGCCTTGACTTCAAGAGGTGCTGTCTATGTCCATATCCCTTGATTCTGGGTGGGTTTTTCAACTGCTTTGAACAATACAATACAGCGGAAGATTCACTGTGCCTTTTTCCAGGTGGCATCCACAGCCTGTCTCTTGTAACACTTGCTTTCGGACCCCAGTCACCATGCTACAAGAAACCGGAACCACATGAAGAAGCCATGTGTAAGGTCAACAGTCAAGTCAAGGGGCCGCAGCTGAGCTCCAAGATGACACACTCATCAACTGCAAGATATCTCAAAGTCCAGCATCTTGAGCATCCAACCTAGCAGAGCCTTTAGTTGACATAAGCTCCATCTACCACCTGACTTCCAAAGGCATGGGAGACTCCAAGCAAGAACTGCTCAGCTGAGCTCAAAGAACAGTGAGAGATGGTAAGCTGTTTTTAGCCGCTAAGTTTGGGGTGGTTTGTTATTCAGCAGTATATAACTGTAGCAACATGAGTAGATACAGTGCGTGTGTGTGCACGCATGTGTGTGCGTGCACGTGCAGATGCACGCATGTGCATGTGTATCTGGTAGGGGAAGATATCTTAATCCAGTAAGTATTGGCAAGATTTAATAATCATGTCCTTTGCTGTAAATAGCTATCACTTGAGATACAGCAAAATCATCCTTCAAGATAGTGGAAAACAAAAATATTACTAAGATCTCCATTTTTAAAAATAGAAGTATGTTATATTTATAGTTAGGCTAAATTCATCAGTAATCAAAGGTGGGATAAGTAAACATTAAAATCGAATCCCAGAATCAGAGACATAAATAATTAAACCTAAGGGCAACCCAAAATATACTTACTGAGCCTCTACTATATGCAAAGTTCTCTTTTAGGTTTTATTTGTTTGTTTCACAGCAACTTGTCAACTCCTGAAACCTATACAACTAAATGTTGTATGTTTCTGTTTCCATAAGTTATACTGGCAATAAACCATCTTTGTTAGGATGCAAGTATATTTAAATACCATTATCAAGATAGCTGCAATTATGCTCAGAATTACCAAATGAACACTCCCTTTCACGCCCAAAGCACAACTAATTCATACTCAAAATAGTAAACAGAGAAATAAAACTAACCTGGGCCATTTAAATACTGTGTAAGGGAACAGTGTAGTCGGACAATTATAGGTTCTGTTCGAATCACTTCCCAAGCCACAGCAATCTCCTCCTGTGCAAATATATTAAAAGATGAATTAGTCACCTTTTATAGAGTTCTTGATTTTTTTTTCCAAAATGAAACGCTTTTTTAAATTTATTTTGAATACATACATAAATCAATAAGGCTCACAAATTACCTCAAGACCTAGGGTTTGGAAAAGAATGTCAAAGTATTCTTAATTTTTACCTTCTACACAGGAAAATTAAAGTGAAAATTTAAGAAATAATGAAGTACTATATTAAGAGCCCATAAATTTCAGAATATATTAAAAGAACCAATGTAAAAATATACATATATAAAATGTGTTTCTTCAGCCAGTCATTGTATTTCTCTATGATCACTTTAACAAAATCAGCTTGTTACTAATAATGAGAAGCAAATATTTAATTTTTTCCAACAATACAAATAAACGTTTTTGAATGTACCAATCATATTGTATAAATTGATACTTACATCCAGAAAGCTAACATCAATATGCAGATCAATATCTACATCATCAATGGCTCCGTATTCCCTGAAAGCAAAGATTAACACTTATTTTTCCATTTTCCTTAAAAGATAATGTGTGCTCATTTAAGTCAAAGATTCAATCCCTAACTCTTCTCACTGATCTCCACAGAGCGCTCAGAAGTGACTGGGGACATGAATTAACAAACTCCATGTAGTTGGATTGTCATCTCCTGTGACTATTTATACCGTCTAGACATCTTTCTATTTTTACGTACATGCATTTGCATACATAAATTCAAGAATTGTTTGCTTCATAGTTTCAAACATCCCCAGTTCTCTGGGGCGAATTCAACCACTTGGTTTTTGTTGTGCTCTCTGAAGAGGAAGAGTTGCCTCAAAGGGCAAAGGAAGGAGTTTCTGACAGGAAGAAAGGGTGGGAAAATAATTCACTGCCACAAGGATGTGCCCACGACTTTCCCTTCCATGCTAAACATCACTGGTTCTGACCGGATCCACGGGCTCTGCCGCTTACATGTCATCGTGTTTTGATAGGCAGCTCTGGAAGTCTGATATATCCAAATTAAAACAAGTAACAACACCATGTGCCACACGAAGACGTTCTAAACACCAACCTTTCTCCAGCCCATGTAGAGCCGTAAACCAGCATACATGAAAGAACATAAAAACAATAGTTTCCCCAGATTCTCTATATACATAAATCTGTATTTATATTTTTATAAAAGTATGAAGTTACAAATGCTATATAGGATGAGAAATAAAATTATACAGATAACTGAAATGATAAAAGTTAGCTGCCAGTATTTATTAAGCACTCATGTGCCAGAAATTATTCTAAGAATTTTACATACGTGTGATCACGGTGCATGGTAGGTACCACCACCACCTTTAATTTATATACGCATTAACTGAGGCTCAGAGTAATAAAGTAACTTACCCATCATCACTCTGCAGCAGAGCCAAGATTTAAACACACACATCCTATTTATTTACACAGGTGATTAATCGGTTCACTATTCAATAAACTATCACTTTGCAGGGTCCTCATCACAGCCTTCTGACGAGGATACCATTACTACCCTCATTTGCAAACAAGGAAACTGAGCTTTAGAGAATTGAAATCAGATGCCAAAGAGTCGATAAGTCAGTGGGGAAGTCAGGCATTGAATTCATGTTCAATTTCAAAACCGTTTGTGGGATATTATCTGGCACATAGTACTCAATGATAATTTCTGTGTATTTCCTATTCAAGTAAGGTTAATATAACACAAAACTGTGGCACTTGTCTAGGGTTCAGAGAAGACACTTCTAATGATCAAATGGTTTTACGTAATTTGATGAATGAAGGAATCGAAGGGGTTTTTTGATTTTTAATGTCTATGACACACAAAAAGCAGCATTTAGAATATAAGAACTCAGGGCACCTGGGTGGCTCAGTCGGTTAAGCGTCTGCCTTCAGCTCGGGTCATGATCCCAGGGTCCTGGGATCGAGCCCTGCATCGGGTTCCCTGCTCGGCAGGGAGTCTGCTTCTCCCTCTCACTCTCCCTCTCACTCTCCCTCTCTCTCAAATAAATAAAATCTTAAAAAAAAAAAAAAAGAATATAAGAACTCAGCCTCTGTGCTTTCTCCATCAACCCCTTAAAAATATATCAAAACAGGGCTCCCTGCTCAGCCTGTCCCTCTCCTCTGCCCCACCCCTCTGAACGTGCACTCTCCCTGTCTCTCTCAAATGAATAGATAAAAATCTTTAAAAAAAAAAAATTAAAAAATTAAAAATATATATATATATCAAACCACTGACCACATTTTCACTATTTATGAAATTGTATTTTTTATTCTTTGATGATAATATTTTTAGATTACATAAAAAAGAAAAGGGATAAAAATTATTCACATAGTAATTGACTTTTTAAAAACACTGCATGGAGGGGAAATCGGAGGGGAGACGAACCATGAGAGACTATGGACTCTGAGAAACAAACTGAGGGTTCTAGAGGGCCAGGGGGGTGGGTGGATGGGTTAGCCCTGTGATTGGGTATTAAGGAGGGCACGTATTGAATGGAGCACTGGGTGTTATACGCAAACAATGAATCATGGAACACTACTCAAAAACTAATGATGTAATGTATGGTGATTAACATAACATAATAAAAAAATCTGTGTTATTCATAAAGGATAAGAACACTTGTAACCTTATGCAAATTTAGACATGATATGATATGCAAATTTAGATACAAAAATATGCCAATTTATTTATGAAATTATACAGACACCATGCCAAGAATAAGGACCAAGCAAATAAACCATCTCTTTTATGCCTCTGGTTCAGGGGTCAACAAGCTTTTCCTGTAAAGGTCAAGATAGTAAGTATTTTAGCCTTTTCAGGCCTTTTCTGGTCTCTGTCACATATTCCTCTTGGTTTTTGTTTTTCTTTAAACCCTTTTAAAAAAAGCAAACACTATCTGTATCTCTCAGGCTGTTCAAAAATGGGCCCCACGACCCAGTGGTCATAATTTGCCAATCTTAAACATCAGCAATTTATTCATAAATATAAAAGCCAAACATCTTTTGTGTTGGCAAATTAAAAGAAAGAACCACTAAATGTAATGATGAGGATCAATTATTAATGATGTTCAATAGACATTTAAGTGGGGTGAAAACTGTAACAAGTATGTGTAAACCTCTGCCCAGAAGGATGTTTGTGAGTGTAGAAACTGGGGACAGAAACAAATATTAAATAATAAGGAAATACTTAAAGTATAGCACACTGGTACAATAGAAAAATTTTTTACCCATTACTAAAGAAGTTGATATAAAAATATTTACTATCCAGAGGGTTATGTTCCAAAATATACTATTTGGAGCAAGTAGATTACCAAAAATGCATGGAAACTGAAATTCCCTTTTTAAATAAAATAGAAATAGAAAAACCAAAACTTTTTTTAAAAAAAGTACTTATTTATTAACTGTAGATTGTGGGTAAAACCTATTTTATATAAAATGTATGTGTTTTCTGGGGCGCCTGGGTGGCTCAGTCGGTTAAGCATCTGCCTTCGGCTCAGGTCATGATCCGAGTCCTGGGATCGAGCCCCGCATCGGGCTCCCTGCTCGGCGGGAAGCCTGCTTCTCTCTCTCTACCTCTCCGCTTGCTTGTGTTCCCTCTCTCGCTGTCTCTCTCTGTGTCACATAAATAAGTAAAATTTAAAAAAAATTTTTTAAACGTATCTACTTTTTCTGATTACTACGGTAATACAAGCTCATTTTATAAAATGTCAGAAAAACACACAAAAGCAACTTATAATACTACCACTCAGATATTATCTTCGCTTATATCTCATTCCATATTTTATATGGTATATAAAAATCTGTCCTGCTCTTTCACTTCTTCTAAAATAAGTATTTTTCTATATTATGAAATATTCTTCAAAATCATAGAATTAAATGGTTGTATTTGTATAAATACAATTCTATAATAAGATAATGTTAAAATTATGAGGCTGCTATTGATTTTTTTTTTTACACTGTAAATATTGATAAAAAGGCCTCTGGATAAAAATCTATGTGCATCTGTCTTCTCACAGAATCATTTCTAAAATTACTGCATGAAATAAATAATATAACTATATTTGGGAGTCTTGATATATGTCATTTAATTACTATTTTAAAAGGTTATGACCATTTCTAATCGCACCAGTCAGCTTATCACAGCGACCACTTTCCACATCCCCATCATCACCAGGCGTTCATTTGCTCGGGTCACTGCCAGTTTCCCAAGGGAGAATAACTTTTGTTTGAATTTAGTTACAGTGGCAAGACTGGTGCAATTAGAGGCTGAAAGAAGGGAATCAGAGACAAGAGAAATCAGTAAGAACCTTACCCACAGCTGTTTTCTTCAGAGTTTTCCAGACCACTTCAACAGAATTTATCATAAAGTTATGATCAGAAAGTGACATGTATTCTTTTAAAACATTTAATATGTGTATCTTTAAGTATTCTTTATATGATTTCTTCAACATTCTTGTGGTTAGTATCTTCCTAATTTCTAACACTATCAATTTATTTCAACAACAACAAAATTATAAGTGCTCTTCCCTGCCACAGCAGAGCACAAAGACAGAACACAAATACAGAATTTTGAAGAGGCAGAGGCATTAAAGATTTGCAATTAACTGGATTCTGCAGGTGTAGATCTGTAAATAGTTACACTTTTTGTTTTTATGCCACACTTCAAAGAATTCACAACAGCACTGCGTATATGCAAACCAATTTCCGTTGTGATGCCCTTTTTATATAATGCCAGTAATTTCAGATTTCCCACTGCGAGATTACAAAGCGTGATTACAGTTTGTCCAGATGCAGCGACCCAGTCATCAGGATTGCTTCTATATCTGAATAACTTTCAGTTGCCCTGGATCTCATGAATAGCAAATGCAGAATCAAGTCAAAAGCCTGAAATATGAATGCAACTTGAATTGTGAAGCCAGATATCTGATTGTGTCCTGAATGCTGTATTGGGTTTATAATAACTCAAAATAATTTCATGCACTGCCTATATTTATTCACTGTGAAAAGATCACATCAAATTGAACCTGAATACTTTTTTAAGATAAGGAGAACAACACAGAAATGATCTGATGTAGTTGTTACACCCTGGAACTGAGAAAGGACTGCTTCACAATTTTTTTTTTCCCCAGACATCTGAGCTACTCTTTCAATCAACATATCTTGAAATCTGGCCATTTGATTTTGGATATTTACATATGACCTAGTTCATTTAAGAACATATGTACGAAATGTATTTTTCTATGAACATGTATTTTTGAGGGCACTATGTGTTAGAATTCTTGGCAATTTCTTCTCCTAATTTTTAATGGAACTAATCAAGATAACATCATCATTAATGAGACACAACATCCATACTCACAATATAGTAAATGTTAGACCATCTCTCCTGGTCCTCCTTTCTCTATAAAACTACAGCTTATTCATTATACTGTTGTGATGTTTTATAACACTACCTGATCAGAATTAGCAGTGATTGCACTGGTTATAAAAATATTATTAGATATCTAGCCTTCCCTTATTAGCTGTCAAGGAAATTATACATATACACATTTACATGAAATTCTATCACAGGTTCTCGGGAACTAAAATCATTACTATTCAGTTATTTCTTGCATTCAGTGACTGGTCAGTTACATTTTAAGAAGAAATAGATTCTGTGAGGAAACATAACACCTTCTATGACATCTGAAACTCAACAAGCGTTCCCTGTCTCTCTCTGCATGCCTACTCAATGTGTGTTTTTTGCTCAGTGTGGGAGAGATGTTTGTGAATGGGCCAAGAAATATGCAAACTCAATAGTCAGAAAGAAATCTTGGTAGATTAAAGCATTTGCAAGACTGTATCCAAAGTGCTCTGAAGTTTCTCTAAAAGGCAACAAGACTGAGAAGAATGTAAAAACTAGGTCCAGATAAAAAAAGAAGGCGATACAAAATGACAGTGTATAAGAGATACAGTTTCTACAACCCTTCCTCCCCCACTGAAAAATCCTTGGTTTTACTTGAAGAAAGTACAGGCACTGGGAATAGGGGTGACTGTCCGGGACCTGACATTCTGAAGCTTTCAACTAGATTACGGGCCAGTGTTTTAGGAAAATACTCCCCCCTTTGTTTCTTCTAGGTGCTTCCTGTCGTCACTTTCCCCTGGTTTTCAGTCAGACCTTTTTTCTGGAGGCTCCAGAAGCAGGAGTGGGAGTACCAATAGCTGGAAAGGACACTACAAATATCCAACGGCAAATCTTTTGATGAATGACGTCTTCAACGTAGGTTAAGATATGCTTTAGTAACAGACCTCTTCAGCTCTCAATGGTTTAACACAAAAAAAGGATTTATACATCATGAACGCTACATGTTCCCTATGGACTCGGAGGGCTGGAGGGGAGTTACTCCTCACTGGGGTCACTCAGGAGCCCATAGTGATGGGAGCCTGGGGGAAACGGGAACTCCTGCACTAGTACCCACATTCACATTTCACTGGACAAAATTAGCTGTCTAATTACCAGACAGGTTAATACCAGAGGACAGGAACCAGAAGATCTGTAAGTAATCCTACCGGTCACTACAAATGGAAATGCAGAAACCCAGAATAAGTGGTTCATACAGATTTTTGTGGCTTTTCTCTCCTTCCCCTCCCCTCCCCTCTCCTTTCTCTTTCTTGCTCTCTTTCCCTCCCTCCCTCCTTCCCGCCCTCCCTTCCTCCCTCTCTCAAGGAAGTATGTGAGCCTGAATATAGTAGCACAACCTCCTCAACCTTAAAAACTCCCCAGTATGCCCTGTCCTCCAGAACATCAACTCCAAAAGGCCCTATTACAATTGTCCATCCACAAAAGGTGATCAAAATGCAGAAGATGGGGCGCCTGTGTGGCTCAGTCAGTTAAGCGGTTAAGTGTCTGCCTTCAACTCAGGTCATGATCCCAGAGTCTGAGAATCAAGCCCCCACGCTGAGCAGGGAGTCGGCTTCTCCCTCGCCCTCTGTCCCTCCCCCCATTTGTGCTCTCTCTCTTGCACCCTCTCTCTCTCAAATAAATAAAATCTTTTTTAAAAATGCAGAAGAGTCACAATCTTGCAATCTTCTAACCTTCATTAAGCATTAGTCATCATAAAAAGGCTAGAATATTACTCATATGGCTTCGACTTTTAAAACAGAAGATGGTATGATCATAAAGCAAAGGTTATTTCATATGGGTTAGACGTGTGAAACACCACAAGCAAATTGTCAGAATCATTTCATTCCTGACCACGTGAGAATTTTGTGACTTGTAATTCCCCACACCTTTCTAAAAATATTAACCTCAAATTGTTTTCCGATGGCACTGATCAAATTTTTTTTAAATACATGACTAGAGGAGAAAATGTATAATGAAAAACATCAAACATCCTCATTTTGCTGCATGATTCAAGATGAGACATGTTCACTCAGTCTAATAAACTGATGGTTTATCGTGTTTCTCCAGAAATCTAACTCACTTCCAATACAAGAGCCTATGAACTGGAACTGTCATCAGTGTTTATAAGTATGGTTCAACACAGCCAGGATCCTGCTTTTGAATGCTATGGCCACATAGAGCTGAAATTACCTACTTCAGTAATGAACTGGTCATTAGTCCCTGTTTCTATCTCCTCTTTCAACCTACTTTAAGAGGTTTTTGCCTCAAGTGAGGCAATGCCAGTTCTTTTCATCTCTTACAGAGAACTTAGATGTGGTTAGCTGCCTTTCTCATTAAATACGTCACATTAAAAAAAAAAAAAATGACGCCAAATAGCCTATTATGCATATTGAGGTACTTTTGTTCTTCAAACTCCATTAAGTTCTTATAAACCTCAATTAAGTAAAAGAACAGCTAATTAGAACAGTCTGTTTTCAGCAGGCTTAGAACTTTGCAAGGAAGAAGGTTCCAAGACCTTATGCCTAACTACTACTCTTGCCATGTCCCCAAGCCTCAGTAGTCGATACTAGACAGTAAATTCATTCATATTTATTTCAAGTAAATCAGACTAGTCCTGCTGTGGTTCATACTTTATACCATGAGGCCTCTGGGAGGTTATTTATTCTGGAAACATTCTCGATAGCTATAGAAAATTACAGCTATAGAAAATCTACAGCAGGTAAGAACATGGCTTATGTTAATAGAGATTTAAATTGAATCAAAACTTATAAGTGAAATAGGGAAGGAGAAAAAAAAATCAAAGCCATTTATGACTTTCAATATTTCATTTGAATGAAATTCCAAATATTTATCTAATTTCAAGAGTTGGTAAGTTATCAATAATTTTATTAATAATGGAAAATACTAACAGATGATCACTGGTACTTAAATTCTTGCTGAAGAAACAAAAAATATTCCATATATATATATATATATATATATATATATATATGACAGTGTAATTAGAGCTTAGCATGGAAATGTGTGTTCAAGATAGTTCCTTAACTTTGTATAAAGGCAATCAACATGCGTTAAGGCAATACCCTAAAATGATAGGTACCTCAAATGAAAAGAAGCTGAACTATATGTTGTATTGTATGATTAACTCTATCCCAGAGTTCTTTTTTTTTAGTGGGGGAGGGGATTAAATTACTGCGATCAAAGTTTTAAGCAGTCAAGCAAATTTCGACTCAAGTTAAAAAATTAATCCTTGTTTTGAACCACTTATGGATAAATCCCTAACTGCCTTCTTCATTTATTCATTCTAACACCCTTACTAACTATTCATATTCCTTACCCTGGAGCCACAGTAGAGATCAACTGAGAAATAATTGCAGCTAATTTGCTAAAACCTTGAAATTTGCAAATATTTGTTTTTCCAAGCATAATCCCAATCACTCTCAGTCCACTGCAGCCGACCAGACCTCCATGAGTGGGAGAGACAGGATGGATGTATATAACCCCAGTTTACTGAGGCTGTAGGTGGTGGTGAGTTTGTTTCTGAAGTTAAAATGAAACACTTGACAATTATCAATTGTAGTTCTGTTGTACTTCCCAGCTTAAATTATTTGTTGGCTCTCTCAAAATCTAGATATGTCCATGGAAGAGAAAGTAACCGATAATGTAAACATCTTTCATGGATGCCATACAAACAATCAAGAATCCATCAGCCCATATTTCATATATTCCCTGTGCTATATTAAGTAACAAAATATAAGCATGATTAAAAAAACAAAAACAAAACAAAATAAAACAAACCAACAAAATAGCGCACTGTCCCTGCATGCACAGAATTTAGGGTCTAGAGGGGGAGAAGTAAACCAATAATGACAAGACACAAGAAGTTGAGAAGCATAATAAATGAGGTGAAAGCCAAATGTGAAGGGCAGACCGACTAATCGGCATTGGAAACTCAAAGGAGGCTCCAGAGAAGCTGGCCTTTGGATTGTGGCTTGAATAAGAATGAAGCACTCGCTGGTGAGAAAACAGCTCATGCAAACGCCGGAAGTCAAGAGGGAACAGAGCACGTCTGGAGAACGGGCTTGGGTGGTTTGGGTGGATAAAGCGGGAACCGAGATCAGGCTGGGATCGGAGTCTGAAATTCCATGGCAACTTGGAGGCTGCCCATCAGGCAAAGAAGAAGAATCTTAAATAATCAGATCTGAGTCGTGGAGGGAAACTAGGATAGTGACAGGAAAGAGTTTCTTTTTTAAATGAGGGAGAGAAGATGGTAGGTAAGGATACTGAGGTCTTCTGAATAATTAAAAGTGATAAATAATGGTCTTTAAATTTATCACCAAATTATATATGAAGTAACTGCAAGATAAAATATATTATCATTTAAACAAACACTGCAAACTTATGTCCTTTTTTTTCTCCCCCTTTCTTTTTTTGGGGTCAGATCACATCACAATGTGATCTGGACACCAGTGGTTATGCATTATTTACTTTTATTGTTCACATGATGTGTCCTTGATTTATGACTGGACTGCATGGGCCAGCTGGCCAAGTCTATTAAAGGAATTGATTAGGACGCTATTTAAGACTGATATTTTATCAAAGTAACTCTCCAAAATAACTAATTTCTTTAATGCACCAATGTACTCTTAAACCACATGTACCAAAAACAAAACCAAAAAAATCCATACAGCTACAGATAGTCCATTTTGTATAAGTAGAAACACAGCAGGATGTCTTAAGAAATTTCAAATATAACTAAGCCCAAGAATATTTCCACTTAAATAACTCAACAGAAAAATCCCAATGACTTACCAAGTCATTTTAATTTTTATTCACGAGAGGTACTGATTTACCTGAGAGAAACTGCATGCGGCCCGTATAGCTCTCTCACTGCCGACAGATCAGCCTCAAGCTGGGGGTGCTTGCGCAGTTCCCCGTCATAGTTCACCTGACAAAAAGGGATGGTTCAGGAATGACTCGGGGTGAAGAGAATCAGAAGAATCAAATACAAACCATCTCTTGAGCAGGTCACCTGACAAAAAGGGATGGTTCAGGAATGACTCGGGGTGAAGAGAATCAGAAGAATCAAATACAAACCATCTCTTGAGCAGGTCACCTGACAAAAAGGGATGGTTCAGGAATGACTCGGGGTGAAGAGAATCAGAAGAATCAAATACAGACCATCTCTTGAGCAGGTCCCCCTATAGGTTCTGCCAGGGATATCTTCTCTGTCATCTTCATTGAAAAATAGAATACTGCAGTATATTCACTAAAGTTCACAGGTTCGCTTAGGTCATAAGTCTCATATAACGTATTATGCTCGAAAAGTAAAATTAGAGGGGTGCCTGGGTGGCTCAGTCGGTTAAGCACCCGACTGTTGATTTCGGCTCAGGTCGTGATCTCAGGGTCGTGAGACTGAGCTCCATGTTGGGTTCCATGCTGGGCGTGGAGCCTGCTTAAGATTCTCTCTCTCTCTCTCACCCCCCACCCCACTGCTTGCACGCACGTTCTCTAACAACAGCAACCAAAAAAAGCACCACTTTAATCTACTACCTTCCCATTACATTACACAAGTTACAAAACATATTTGTTCAAGAGGTTTACAGAACCAGAACAAGACACCATATACAGCCATATCCTAAAATCAACTGCACAGGTTAAAACTTTAACACTACCCTGGAAAAATAGTGAATTCTTTTATATATATGCATATGTGGCTACACCATTTTCATATATATAAATTATGATATTTCTTCATCACAATTTTCCAACAAACACTTTACGTCAGTGTAAGAGGAAAAGACAATGAATACAAATATTGAGGATGCTCAGTAACTCGGGACCATCAATTTTTATAAAGGTTAATCATGTTCTACTTAAAACTAACCATCCATGCTTTTGTTAGAAGCGTCATCATTTCAAAACACTGACTGAGCCCAACATGCTTAAGAAATGTAAAAGTCAGAAATAGAATAAAATGCCATCTGCAAAATCTCTGTAATGAATTAAGATAACTTCAATGCAAGTGAGTGATTACAGTCAAAGAATTGCCAAAGTAACCTTAATTTCTGAATATATGTACAAATAAGAAACAGAGAAATTATACAGATCTGCAAGCCAGTTACAGAACTAACGTGCAGGGCTCTCGGACCACAAGCACAGGAATCCACTAGGACATGGATGCCTACCGTGGACTCTGAGAGCGGATAATTGGGAGGTCTGATGCACTCACCTGTCCTCCATAATAAAATTCTTCAGAATCATTATCACCTTCAGAATCTTCTTCCACTGTACTATTTTGTCTTGACTCCTTAAAATAATAGAATCAGAAGAAAGTTTTAATGGTCAAACTAGCTTGCCTTCTTTCAAAAAAAGTAGATAATGGCCATAATGGATTAAGTCTTGTGCTTATCACCTGGATTTTATATAAAAGACATTGTTGGTGCAGTACAAACCAAAAACAAAAGATAGTAGGAGACATTTTGTCAGTGTATTAAGCTCTATGTATATCTTTTTTAAAAGTTTTATTTCATCGATTTTGTGTTGTACAATTTACCATTTTATATATATATATATATATATATATAAACTATGTATAATCACCTACAACTTTGGCTTTGTTCAGATAGAACTTCTGAGAAGTTCATACTGATTCGATTTTTTATTAAAAAGTTCCTCGGCATTATTTATCCCTGACTGTCCTCACTTCCACTGCCAACTCTACACAATGGTATGAAACAAAAGGCACTCTTAACTCCAATAATAATTATGAAAATAAATATGAATTAATTACAAAGAGAGCGTTCTGCATATAGAAGTTATTTGCTTTAGACTTCAGATTTCAAAAGGATATTTAATTAAATATGCTTGAACTTGAAGTTTGAATTTCTAATTAACTGAACCACATCTGTTATGTGTCTAAAGTGCAAACAATGAAAACTCATCTAAAGTAACTAATGATGATATTCCTATCCCTGGCTCTGTTAAAATAATTAGAAGAAAGGCAAATTCCATTAGACACAGGAATCTATTAATCCAACGTGTTGGAATCATCCCTAAAATTTCCAGAACAAATTTCGAATTCTTAAGGAAAAAGAAAAACCTATAAAAGGGAATTTGGGTTTGATAAAATGCGAACAGTTTTCGGTTTTAGCGGCAGTACTGCTAAATCTGTGGTTCTCGTTGTGGAAAAAGAAGAGTAGAGGGAATGATACAACACTAAGAGAAAGGGAAGGTCGTATTGGGTACATAGTGTTAAGAGCAAAGAATTGTTGGTCCTGTTGCACTCATTTTGTTTGTTTAATGTCTAGTATTTATTGACTGATTCAAGCAAACTTTTTAAAGGTGAGGAAGGGCGTATGAATTTGTTGTTGTTGTTTTAACATTGGTCAATAATAATGACTCTACATACCTATAATCTTTGCTACCTTAGCTAAAGAGACCACCTTTTACAAATGAACCTGTGAGGGTCCCATTGAAACAATGGATAGCCACATATAGTTGTTAGAACTGTAAGTTATATAAGTGCTCCTTAGTCAACTACGTTATTTGACGAACGTACGGAGAATAAGTAAAGAAAGCTTCGTATGTATCTGATTTAGATTTAAAACTGACATTCTTTCTATTATTTGAAAGGGAGCTTCCTTCTCAGAGTTAACTCCAGGTCACTACCCTCCCCACACATTAAGTCTCTCAGCTACAAGCTTGTGTTCCATACACTAGATGCGATCTTAACCCCAATAACAGTGATAATATTAACTAGAAATACAAGGTAAATTTAAAATATGCCTTTATGTTTTCAATAAATATAAAACATGAAATGCAATTTCCATACCTCTCCATTTTCCTTCTGTAATTTGGATTTTATGGATAAGCAACAGTTAGTGTCATTTGTCTTCCTTAATTCTGAAAGTTATAAAACATCATTTCAGTTTTTAGTATACTATTTACCAAACATTTATAAGCTTCAATGTAAAAACACCCCTCAGGTGATTCTTTCTTTGCAAGAAAATTAAGGAATATTTTGAAATTATATTATGTTGGGAAGTTATGTGATATATAAGCTCTTCTGATTTTCCATTGCCCATAAAAATATGGTCAAACCAAAGTGCCACTATATAGACTGCTTCAGATCTCATTATATATTTCATGGGATCTACATTGCCCTGAGTCAGCTTTTTAAATATTCAGTTTCCCTAGCAGTATCATTATGTATGGAATATTTTAGAGCAAATATTAACATAATGCATTTAAACAGGACTTTTTCAAAGAATGTAAATTTATGTGTTTAAAAAACTGTTAAAAAACAAACACAAGTTAAATAGAAAATTTATATGGGGATTTATAGATCCTAAAGATAAATATCTGTTACATGGGCTAAAAGAAACAAAAAAAATAAAGCTACCTACAGGCAAGAAAATATTAACCTAGAATTTTAAAAAATAGTGTATTCCTATTACCTGTTGCTATTCGATGAAAAATTACTGGAATTGGCTCTGTAGTAACTAATACATCTTCATCATTTTCTGAACTTGACACGTATGTATTATCTGCAAAGAAATATGGACAATTAAAGTCATAGTAATTTGAAAAAAGACACCCTTTATTTAAAAAAATGAGGTTACATCCACATCACTTCTATCACTCATGAAGCACATACTACTGCTCTGATTAATCTTAGAAAAAATTACGTGTATTTCAGATTTATGTGTGATTTAATTTTAAATGGCCTCTTTAAAGATGTTTGCATCTCCTAGAGAAATAGAGACTTTGGGTAGAAATTATAGAGATTATAGCCCAAATATATCTCTCATATTCCGTGGGGCAACAGATCATTTGGATGCAATTGCTTGCCCTAACTCAATGAACAGGGTCCTTCCCAGTTATCAGTACCTGCTAACCTTCCTAAGCAGGTTAGTGGTTGGAAGGAGAAAGCTAAACAAGAACATTTGGTGCAACAAATTCAATATCAAGTCTCTAAAAAATCTGAACTAAAGCTTTCATTGAAAATCATACCGCCGTATTACTCTAATACACATTTTAAATTGATATGAAGTCTCACAACTCTTCCTCCATGAATTTTCATTAAATACTATACAAGTTGAATTCATAGAACATTAAATTGTTCCACAGCTTACTTAATTATTTTACTCATCATTTATTTTCTCTGGAAAATATATTTTATAAATCTAGGATTTTTCCCTAATAAATACAGACCTCCGCTTCTATGGTAATATAATATAACGCACAGCCATTTATCCTAGTTGGTTCATTGAGGAGTACAGAGCATCTGTGAGAGAGCTGTTTAACAAACACTTCATCAGTTCATCAGCAGTGGTCCTATAATACTCTCCGTGTTGTATAAAATATATAAAATATAAAAATAAAAAGTGTAAAATATTCCCAACAAATAATAGAAACCTGTATCAGTTTCTGCAAAAGGAAATGAGTATTCTGACAACTGTCTGAGTACAAGATAAAAGATCTTGAGCCAAGTTTTCATAATATTGTGTCAGTACAGTGAGAACATGATCTTTAACTGATAGATATCAAAGTCATTACTTTATTTCCAAAGAAACATCTGCACTGTTTTTAAGACCTAGAGTACTGAGTCAGTGAGAGCAATATGTAGTCACAGCGTAGCTATAAAGATGCTCAACAGAGACACAAGGCTTTCACAGTTATTCTGGAAGGTAAGAGGACATGAGTATAGATTGGATTTGAAACAAAACAGGTTTGCCCCATTACTTTATTTTAATTGCAAATTTTGCCTTGTTTTGTTTTCAAATAGCATCAAGGAAGGTGTGAGATTTTTGTGTTTATCAAGTGGGACCACAAATTAAGAAATGGATTTAATATAAATTTACTTTAATTACTGTCTCATCATATTGATTGAGACTTTGACGTTTCATCTGGAGTCTCTTCTGTCAGTAACCTCATACGCTGAGGTAGGAATCAAAACCCCTCTATCAAAGCCATTATTTAAATTTCTTAAACCCTCATTCAGAGTCTTACTGATCCAAGTTATTTGCTATGGAATCAACTGAATTAGACTTTTCCTGTGTACAATGGATTCCTTGAAGTAAACTTATGGAGAAAATGAGTATTAGAAGTGTGGATTAGGGGCACGTGGGTGGCTCAGTCGCTAAGCGTCTGCCCTAGGCTCAGGTCATGATCCCAGGGTCCTGGGATCAAGCCCCGCATCAGGCTCCCTGCTCAGCGGGAAGCCTGCTTCTCCCTCTCCCACTCCCCCTGCTTGTGTTCCCTCTCTTGCTGTGTCTCTCTCTGTCAAATAAATAAATAAAATCTAAAAAAAAAAAAAAAGGTGTGGCTTACAGTAACGGAAGTAATAGCTGACCACCAACTAGAAGGGGAGATCCAGAAAAATCCGTAAAATGGACACAGTATCACGCAGTATCTCAGTGTCATGGAACAAGGAGGATTTTACTATAGCTTCAAGAGGCAAGTAAGTTAGGATTTTCTGTTTATGAAAATGGGGAAGTGAATAACTCAATTTAAAGGTTCAAATGGTTTACGTAGTGTTGATACTGGAAAGCAGTCAACTTTGATTCAAGAGAATATAATTTGGTGAAGACATGTTGCATAATGCTGAAAGACAGGACTACACAGTCAACCATATCATTTTCTAAGAGATTTTCTACCAGTTTGTATTTTCATCAGTATTTGGGCATTAGAACACTTTCAATTTCTGTTTCTGGCTTAATTTATCCAAGCCAAAATGTTTTCAGGTTTCAAGACAATATCTATTAAATCATCATTACAACATTAATAGGCCAGGTCAACGGGGTATATACCCAAGTGAAGAACAGAAATACAGGAAAGTAGACAAAGCACATAAAATCTAGACCCAGCTACCAACTAGTTATTGATCCCTTTTAACTAAGCCACAGTCAGCTTAGTTCTAAAAATGAAGGTTTGCTGATGCACTTTGAGGATCGGTCCAGCTGTATGAATGAATTCTGTTTTCTTTTTGTTGTTGTTGTTTAAATAATCATTTCTAAACCTTCCTCAAAGTATTTTGACATCTGTAATAATAACATCATCTTTGTTTAGACATGAGAAAGTAGGACATAAAAAGAATAAGGAATGCATTTAAGGTAACAGAATGAGTCAGTGACAGAATAAAATGTTTTCAAACTCAAATTCCTTCACTGGAATTCTCCCACTTGACTCCAGAGCTGCCAAATTTTTTTTTTTTTTTTTGAAACTTCTGGAGACAGTTAGGTTCTTTAATGTGTAAGTTTTGTAGAGGACCTCAAGATCTTTATTAAAGGCTGTTAACAGTATGAATATTTTCAGGGCGCCTGGGTGGCTCAGTCGTTAAGCGTCTGCCTTCGGCTCAGGTCATGATCCCAGGGTCCTGGGATCGGGCCCTGCATCGGGCCCTGCATCGGGCTCCCTGCTCGGCGGGAAGCCTGCTTCTCCCTCTCCCACTCCCCCGCTTGTGTTCCTGCTCTCACTAACTCTCTCTGTCAAATAAATAAATAAAATCTTTAAAAAAAAAAAAAAAAACCAGTATGAACATTTTCTCTTCCCCGCCCTACCAGACTATGCAAGCATTACTGGAACTCTCGTGGACAATTGGGGAGAGATGGGTAGAAAGCCATGAAAAAGCATCTCCTGAACTACTGTTTTCATTCCATTTCAGATGCAACATGATTTAAGCCAAGTCATTCCATTATTCATTACTATGTAACTAAAGGGATTATAATTTTATTGGTTTTATAATATAATCTGGATGTCTCCCCTGAATGTTATATATAATATTCATGTACTTCATGTCAACTTTCAAGCCAGTCATTTATTATCCCTATTTTAAAGATGAGGAAACCACGGCTCAGAGAAATTAAGCAATTTGCCCAAATTATTTCAGTAATTAAAATTACACATGACTAGTAAGTGGTGAAACTGTCTGAATCCAAACATCAATGCTTTGTTATGCTTTTTTAATATCAAAAAATTGTCACTCAACAATTGCAGTATGTTGTAAAGCATATAAAAGGGATGAGAGAATTTACACCCACCAATAGGTGAGCCTCCTAATTAAAGGTGGGAATTGATGAGAAAAAACTCTGCTGTTCTATTACAGCAGAGCCAATTATCTGTGACTTGTAATATACTTACCTTCAAAAAGCAAAATCTGTCTACAGTGTATATGACATAAGGAAGTACAAGTAAACCAGAAGGTTGCTCTATTTCTTCACTTTATTTTAAAGAACCAACCTATCATTTAGCATTGCATTTATATACATGTTATTTAAGGTAAAACTAATGCTCACTAAAGACCGTCTTTGTTCACAAAAGCAAAACTGTTGACTAATTTCAATAGATGACATGGTTACTTAATAGATTGGAATTATAAAATGATAAATTCGTTCCTAAGGAGATAAACAGGGTGACATAATCCTGAATTTGAAGGATTATGCTCATACATTTCCACAGGACAAAGAAAGTTCCAAATTTTCAAACTTGGATGATGAAATAATCACTCAACCATATAATCCAGGAAACTAGGATGGGGGGGGGAAGACTGAGGAACATTAGCAGAAGGAATTAACAAAAGTACTATCAAGATTACTGCATTTAGAAATTAAAAATGAAGTAAAAAGCTATTTGTTTGAAAGGATTTTTACAGTAGGTAAAACTCTGGGGAAGAAAAATCAAAGGGAGAAAAAGGCAAGAACAAATGTAAAACAACAGAAATGAGAAACAGCCACAGAGATGCGGAAGATTTTCAGATGTACATACTGAATACTATGAACAACTTTTTGTTGAAAAGGTTGCACATTTCACCAACATAGTGAGCTTTCAAGAAGAACACATGTTTAAAAATGACTAAGAAATAGAAAATCAGAACAGATAATAATCGTGGCAGAAAAATAACGATTATTAATCCCAGAACCATCCCTAAAAAGATACCAGGCTCAGAGAGATTTGCTTGCATGCTCTGTTGAATGCCAAAGAATAGGTACAATGTCAAGCCTTTGGTGGCAAAGTATATGACAAAATGCATCTAATTCTTCTTTTTTTAAAAGATTTTATTCATTTATTTAATTGACAGAGAGAGAGAGACAGTGAGAGAGGGAACACAAGCAGGGTGAGGGGCAGAGGGAGAAGCAGGCTTCCTGCAGAGCAGGGAGCCCGATGCGGGACTCGATCCCAGGAACCTGAGATCATGACCTGAGCTGAAGGCAGACGCTTAACCGACTGAGCCACCCAGGCACCCCCAAAATGCATCTAATTCTTAAAGATCAACATTAAGATATCTACTAATAATATAACTTGTCACCTTGTTGTTCAAAGGAGAAAACATATGTGATACCTCAACAGAAGTTAAACAAGAATTTGCTAAAGACTTAATACTCATTCTTTAAAAAAAAAAAAAAAAAAGCTTGGTAAATGAGAAAAGTAGTTTTCTGAAAGCAGATGAAAGTATGGTCACTAATTTTGGAAAAAAAGGACAAAGCTGCCAACTTTCATATAGATTATTAAAAATTAATCTGGAAGTTCTAGTAGCATTATGGGAGAAAAAAACACAAGGATGAATATTGGAAAGGGAAAGCAAACATATAACTTTTATACAACATTATCTACATGAGAAATCAAGTGTATTAACTGAACTGTTAGTACAAATAAATGTAGATTAAAATTTAACAATGGGGAAATATTATCATGGTAATATTCACTTTGAAGAAAGCTCCATAAAAAATACTACCACTACTTCTCCCCAATAAGTGATAGTTAGGAATTAGAACTGAATTATAGGTTTGATTTTACCACCAAACTACATGTCCTTGGGAAATACTATTTAACCTCTCTTGGCATATTTCTTCAAGTATAAAATGTGACGACAGCCTTTGTTCTGCCTATACACAAACTGGCATTTAGAGTCAATTCAATTATGTATATGAAAATACTTGGTACACAGTGTACTGGTTACATCAACCAATTCAAAATACGACCTCCAAATGCACTAAAATTTCTCTCACCCATACTTGGTGTTTTATTTACACTTCTTTTATTTTTAGAAATGAAATTATATTGTAAATTCACTACAGACTCTCTCCAGGATGGGAATTTGTTTTAAAAAAGCACAAATGATAACCAGTGTTTTAGTTTTAAGTTTCAATTTTTGTATATTGCGTTTCCAAGAGGGGCTCCCTCCCGCAAGGTGAGAAAAAGTCAGTGATGCATCTTGGCCACAAGAGGGAGCTAAACATTTGGTTCGCTTGGTTTACCAAAGGCATCTTCTGCCCTATTTCCTGTGCTACAGAATTATTCACTTAACAGTCTTCAAGGTGGGTTTTGATTTGTGGCATTATTTCTATCACCCTAACTTAAAGTCCTCTCATGATTGACATTTCTAGAAGCTGCCTCAGATGAGAAGCACAATAATTATAATATTTACAACACTGAGGTAACTTTAATTTTCCTAACATACTTATTTAGCAAACATTCAGCATCAAAAACATCATAAGGGAGAAAGTTGATTGCAAAATCATCTACAAAAAATGTTTCTTCATAAATATTTTGTCTTGCTATTTCCATGAAATCTGCCTAGAACACTTTATATACTTTTATATAAAAATAAGCATATTTTTAATAATTAATAACTCCCCATATAAAACTATACAATAGTCTTAAAGAATACTAACGCTTAACACATGTGGCGATCATAGCAAAATAACTGTAAGATAGTTTATGATTTACATAATTATTTTTATTTTTATTTGTTTTTAATGTTAACCATGGTACTTTTAAGATTTTTTTTTTAAAGATTTTATTTATTTATTTGAGAGAGACAGTGAGAGAGAGAGCACAAGAGGGGGGAGCAGGAGAGGGAGAAGCAGACTCCCTGCTGAGCAGGGAGCCTGATGCGGGACTAGATCCCAGGACTCCAGGATCATGACCTGAGCCGAAGGCAGTCGCTTAACCAACTGAGCCACCCAGGCGCCCTAAGATTTATTTATTTATTTGAGAGACAGAGAGAGAGTGACAGAGAGAGAGCATGAGCAGGAGGAGGGGCAGAGGGAGAAGGAGAAGCAGACTCCCCCCTGAGCAGGGAGCCCTACATGGGGCCCCAGGATCATGACCTGAGCCAAAGGCAGACACTTAACCAACTGAGTGACCCAGGCACCCCTATAAAATTATTTTTAAATGTAACATTTGATATTACAAAAAAAAAAAAAAGATTAAGTGCATGGTGCAAACGGCCACAAAAAATACTAGCCTAAATGCTAAAGAAGTAAGTTTTACATCTTCATACTACCTTATGAACTAATTATTTTTTAATAATACTCAAAGTACATATAATCAAAGTTACTTATAACAATCTAGTAATTTTACATAGAAAAATATGATCCAAATCATGCACAGTGTGTGAATAAAATGGCTAGATTTGAATAAGAATTGATTCCAATTTATGACACTGGCAGATCACAACAGTATAATCTGGTGACCATCTGATTTTATTAAGTCAGATGTTGGAATATACATATATATATGAAATGTAGGCAGTTAAAATTTGCTGTTCTTTGTCACAAAATATGATAAACACTAGATTCCTGGATTATACTCTTTTCTCTGAGGTAAACTAATCAAGGTGTATTTATTCTGCACTAAGTCTGCAATCCTTATGCTCTTATTCAAGATAAAATTATAGATATCACTTGTGCAGAAAATACTAAAGAGGAACATCTTGTTTGTATCTTCAAATTGCCATGACTGAAATGTTGGCATCCACAGCCTGGGCTCTGTGAGGTGGCATGCATCTCGAAAATAGGACTGACCATGGCCTAGAAGAAAAACCCTTGTTTGATTTACAGAAAAATGGATCTGCAGTGTTCTTACATTCTGTCTTCTAGGGACAAGTGTGTGTGGGCCTACTAATCTATTTCAGGAGACAGACACACAGTGAGAAGAGCCATGCATATACAAGATACCTAGTCTAGTCCAGTGGGACAGTCCACAGGCTCTGGACTACTGGGTTCAAGTCCCAACTCTTCCTCTTACTAGGTGTGTCATCATTCAGGAGGAAAATGGTGATGTTATGGTAACAATATCATAGGATTATTGTGAGAATTGTTTAATCATTCATATGCTTAGAAAAATGAAGACAGGCCTATTCTTTGCTATTACTATTTTTAGCTATTAGTTTAGCTGTTATTCTTACCTATTATATTTACGTTATGAAAAGCCAAATGATGTTCCAAATCCAACAACCAAACCAGCTCAGAGAATCTTTGTTTTACTTGCAATGAGATAAATATATACAGGCTGAAGCTATCACATGGGCTCAAGTAAATGACTTTTCATCAGGAAACTATTTTGCTTCTGGACTGCATCTCAGGGTAAGACATGAATCTCACAGGCAACCAGCAGAATTCTTCTAGATCTTCAAGTCTTTTCCTGCCAACATTTCACTCCTAGATATATTTATATATATTTTCCATCTCCAGAAGGAAAAAATATTCAAAGAAATCATGACATGAGTATTTGTAATAAAAAATAGAAAGAAGAAAAGCATACCTGGGTAATCTTCAGATACATGTACTGAATAGGATACACTGTTAAAACAGGGAAAAAAGAGAAAAGAAAGGCTCAAATTACTGCTAAGGCAAGTGTTTTTACAAAATAAAAACCAACCTCACATTACCCATTCATTTTTACAGATATAAGTATAAACAAAAAAAACCTCCTTGGTATTTGACATAGGAAACTTAACAGGTTTTTAAGATATATTTTCCATTAGTATAAATGGTTTTTGAAATATCTTTCTCCCAACAGTGGTACCTTTAGTATAGATAGGTCTTTTTATTCTCAGCAATATCTAATATTCCCTAATCTATGATCATTTGTGTCGTTTGCTTAGATTTTATCAAATCTTTTTTTTTTTTAACCAAACATAAAATATTCCTATTTGGTACAGCAGTTCAGAATTTAAACATTTATTTTTAATACTGCTTCCCCACAATATGCTGTGCTTTTGAAACATGTCCTTTTCTTCAAAGAATTAAGAACAGGAAGACAGTGGAACTAACAATTATTCAACAGCCGCTCTCTCATCATCATGATATATAACAAATAAACTATCTCCTGTTCTCAAAAGTATTGGGTTGCTTTAAAAATAATTTTTAAATTGCATTTTAACAATTTCACAACTCCTTTCTCAGTAACCCTACTGCTTCCTCCAGGTATTATCTCAGTGACGTATGGGAAGTTATCATGCTTATTTGTTCACTTTCCTATCTCTATCAGCTAGACTGTAAGTGTCTTGAGGTAAGGGTCCATGTCTATTTTTATTTCTAACACAGTCACCTATTATGGTGCATGACACTCAGCACTTGTTCAATATTAGCTTTCTGAATGGATCAGGGGAACTGCCGCCTGCCAGAGAAAAGTCAAAATTTAGTTTAAGTTCAGCCAAATTAACTGCCTGTTAAGAACCCCCCTCCAAAAAAAAAAAAAAAAAATCAATTCTCTTTGAAGGAACATATAGAATAGAGTTGATGCAAATTATCATTCACAAAGTAAATTCAATGCAACCCAAATTACTTGACATATGAACAAGCAGGAAAATCTAACCTATATTCAAGTGGAAATTTACCCAAGTGCTGGATTAGCCCACAATGATGTTAAAACAGTCAATATAAATATGCTTAAGGAAGCAAAAAAGGAAAATCCAATCCAAAGAAGAAACAGATGATCACCGTCTTGCGCGACATGAGCAAAAGAGCAAACATTTTGTATTACTCAAGTTTCAGGAGGTGAAGAGAGAGAGAAAAATGCAGGGGGGGGGGGGGGGAAGAGCTGAAAATTTCCTAGTTTGGGTGAAAGACCAATGTACAGACTAAAGAAGCCCAGAAAACCCCAAACAGGGTAAGTGCAAAGACAGCTCCATCCAGGTACACAGAGTCAAACTGCTGAAAACCAAATATAAAGAAACATTTTTAAAAGAAGATAAAAACTTGACACATTAAATACAGGAAAAACAGTAAAAATCAATGTTTTCATAAGAAGCCATGGAGGACAGAGGACAGTACAATGATGAAGATCTAGGGGAAGGAAGGTAGAGCTGACAACTATGAACCCAGAATTCTATATCCAGGCCATAGACCTTTAAAAATGAAGATAAATTAAAAAACTAACACATTAAAGAAAACTGGGGTTATTTGTCCCAGCAAACCCAAGGTAGAAAAAAATCCCAAAGTTCTCCAGGTGAATGATATCAGAAAATCAAATATCCAGAAGCAATGAAGAGCACCAGAAATTGTAAATATGAAAGACTATTTTTCTCTTAATGTTTTAAAAATACATGACTGTTTAAAGTAAAAGTTCTAACACTTCACTATGGGATTTATAAAATATGTAAATGTAATACACATGACAATTACAGCATAATGTCAGGGAGAGGTTAAATGGTCATATACAGTTTCAAGGTTCTTACATCTTCTATAAAATGTTGTAATACTAACCCTAAACAATAACTCTAAGAAAAATTAAGGATATACTGTAATCCCTAGGACAAGCACAAAAAAACATTAAAAAACAACAGAGAGATGAAGTGGAATTCCAAAATCATTTTGGAACATTTAATCCAAAAGAAGGCAAGAACAGAGGAACAAAACACCCAGAAGGGACAAATAAAAAACAAACAGTAAATGGTGCCTGAATCTAATTGTACCAAGGATTGCATTTAATGCTAATGGCTGAATTACACAGAAGGGATTAAAAAAAAAAAAAAAAAAAAGGCAAGATCCAATTCTATACTGTCTTTAAGAGATTCACATTAAATATAACTGAAAGTAAAGGAGGGAAAAGTTATACCTCCATGCAAATGGTAAGCATAAGACTCAAGTGTTTAAATTAATAACAAAGACTTCAAGACAAAGATAGAAAGAGATCATTCATAAGGATAAAAGGGTGAATTTATCAGAATGAAGGCACAACAATCATAAATCTGTATGCACCTGATAACAGAGCTTCAAAATACATGAGGCAAAACCTGACAGATAAAGGGAGAAATGGACAACTCCACAATCATAGTTTGAGTAATTAATAGAACTAGACCCCCCCCCCCAAATCATTAAAGACATAGAAGATCTAAAACAGATTTTCATAAAAAACTAATAACAGCAGAGTTATCTTTTTCTTTTCAGGTACACATAAATGGAATGTTCACCAAGAAAGATCATATACTGCACTATAAAACTAGTCTTAGTAAATGTGAATGCTTGGATGGTTGTGGTTCACCGTAGTTCATATCCTGGTTTCCTGGCTCTTATAACACTAAGTCTTAAGTCCTCAAAGAGCCACTGCCTTTTAGAATTTGAGTGGACTTTGGGCTATATGACTGTGGCCACAGGCAATGCAACCCCTTCACGCAAGCCCAAGTCTTCCAGACTCTACCAATCAAACCCCTGGCATGCTGCTTAGTCCATGGAAAGAGATTACACAAAGACAAGAATGAATAAGGAAGTGAGTAGGAAAACAAGATGGTTAGTAATGAGACCAAGTACTGATACACTGTTCTTTCATAAAGTATATTTAATTGTTTAATTAATTCAAAAAGCATTTCTTGGTAATCTGATAAAAGACAAACATTATGTTAATAATGTTAACCAAGATTTAGGAAGAAAAAAATCAGGAGATGACTTTGTATGATTAATTTAGGAGGAAACAAAGAATATAAAACACAATGAATATGACAGACATAGGAACTTAAACATTTTAAAGCACAATAGTATTTTTTTTTACTTTTTATTTTTATAGAATTACAGGTTCGCATGAAGTTTTACCGATAGCAGAGAGGTCTCATGTAGCCTTTATCCAGGTTCCCCCATTAATGACATGTTATATACTGATAGTATAATATCAAAAGCAGGAAATCGACATAGATAAAGTTTGCATATAGTTTTAGGTTATTTTATCACGTTTGCATCATGTACTCACTATCGTACATCAAGATATGAAGCTATTTGATGATTCAAGGATTTCCTTCATTCCACCCTCATTAGAGTCAAACCTGTCTCCTTTCATCCCAACATCCTTAACCCCAGGCAGACACTAATCAATTCTCCGTCTCTATAATTTCGTCATTTCAAGAACATTATATAAATGGAATCATAGAGTATGACACGAAGCACAATAGCATTCTGAAGCGAAGTTAGTACTGTGAAAAAATTACTATGATTGGCAATATTTAGGATAGACTGAAGAAGAGGGAGATTGGATTCAGAAGCTACTATCAGTGGGGAGGTATGTAATGGGGAGGAGAAGGCGGGAACAAATGGCAGATGTTGGAGCCCAGCCAAGAGACCAGCTTTGGAAATCATGGCCCTGAATCAAATGCCAAGGATTAGAAGATAAAATAACTATGCCAGTGATGCTTCAAATAAGCTGGGGGAAATACACACTATGACCTCAATGAATTTATTTTCCCACAGGTCATCCCCTTAGACAATGGAACTATACTATGTAGAAATTAAATTATTGATGATCAAGGCAACCCTTCACTGGCAGAACTATGTGACAGAAGCCTGGGATCTTGCCAGAGATTATACTCAATACCAAGCTGAATTAATTCTCAACAGCCTACCATCTCAACCAATAGCAGTTGGCTTCATTTCTTATCCATATGAATGTCCAAATCCAAAGGGAAGCCTTAATACGTTCCCATGTCTATCTCCAATTGAGGAGCCTGTTGTAATCAGGGCCACACACACAGAGATCAAATTCCAGCTTTGAGGCTTACTAGCTGAGTGGCATATGAAAAGTTAACTTCAACACGCTCGGCTTCGATCTCTTTTCAGTAAAATGGGAGAATCCAGACCTACAGTACAAGCCTGCTGTGATGATTTAATGGTCTGACAGGTGTAAGGTCCCCAGAACGCCAGACACAGAGCAGTGGGTGCCAAGTAATTCTAGTCAGCTTCCAGTACCAGCAATGAAAATGTAGAAAAATGAAATTTCACATGAACGAAATGTTTATTGGGGAACTCAAGTTACTCAAAACCACAATATATTACGTTAATCAGAGACCAAAACTAACACTGATGATTTTATCTTACGGTTGTATTATCCTCATGATTTTAAGAGACATTTCCAGGTTCATGATCATACCTAATTTTTCAAATATAAAATAGAAAGCAAAGGCCCTACAAAATGACTCATCAGCTCCTGTGTTATATAGCATTTTCTTGGGAGTACACCAGAAGGAAAATCACCAGGGCTGTAAAATCCAAATCAGTTTCACTCTGTGGCTTACAGAGTTCTTAGGGAAACAATCTAGTACAAGCAGACATGGATGATTAAGCTAAAGGACCTAACAGGCAGGGCTGGGGGGGTGGGGGGAAGGCAAAGAACCAAGCTTAAATAGATACAGGAGTAAGGGGAGCATGTGCTGTACATACTAAATACTAAAGCAGGTAAAATTATCATGAGGAAGTGAATGGGAAAGAAAGTGAACAAGAGAAGGAAGAGAAAGCTGGAGCAAGCTCTGAATTCTGATTCAGGAGAAAAAAATGCCTTCAAAATTTTAGACTACGACGTTAAACTACAATTATAC